ATTTTCAGCGTAAATAGTAGACTTTCTGGTTTTCCACCTACTGTTTGCTTTTTTTCGGGGAGCTTTCGGTAATGGTCGTATAGCTTTCGGCGTAAATACAAAATCAGTACCAGAAGGAATTGTTTGTTACGAAATCAGTTCCAGAAGGGTTTAGGCGAAGTTTGATGTATACTATTGTGATGTCGTCTGGGTAGTGTATTCAAACTTTATTTGTCCGGTAAACTTCCGGACAAATAAAGTTTTCCTGTTCAGGTGTTCTAGGGACTGGTAAATATTGATAGCTTGTTGTTGAGCTACCGTCTCTATCCGTGGTTTATTAATTAAGAGAGAAGGTGATAGTGAAGTAGTTTTATCAGATGTGCCAGTATTCCTTATAGGAAGGGTCTCTGCGTCTGTTGTATTTTCGGAATTTGGTCTATCTAACGCAAGATGCTAGATGCATCTCGATTTTACATATCTTAGGAGCGAACAGTGGTTCAGTCCATGCTTCTCTGCAGCAAGCAAAATCTCGTGCTTTTATTTCCTCGTAGGCGTCTTTATACTTCGAAATCTAAGAAACAAGAAAATTAAATAAATATGTTGTTTCAACCGTACCCACAAAAAATGTTTCAACCGTACCCACAAAAATTGTTTCAACCGTCCCCAGCCTCTTTTAGGTACAAAATCGTTTCTGGTAAGTGTGGCAATAATGACACATTAAAACTAACCACGCAACCCTATTCTACAAGCTTCATTTCAAACACATAAATACACTCAATAGTCAGACTTCAATAATAATCACAGTAACTGGAGAAATCTCCGAACAAAAATACTTACTTTTGGTTTTTAAAACACAATAGGGCTTCCTATAAACAATTGCAAAGATAATTGAGCGATGCAACAATGTGATTCATGTTGGGACTTGTTGTCCGCTTCTTTCGCCCCTTGGACCTCTCACTTCATCTCATATGAATCGAAAGATATATTCTTAGCTTCGTTCTTAGATTTGTTTCAACCGTACCCAGTTTACTCTAACGACAAAAAAGCGGGATGGTGATATACACTTCATGTAGCGCTGTCTCACAAAAATTCATTTTAGCACTAGTCCTACGTAACTGTGCGCCTGAGTTGTCTCCTGTTCTCACACGCCTGTATCGCCTACCACTTGAGACTGTTATAGTTCCCAGGTCGTGGAAGCTTGCAAAGGTGCAACCTGTGCCCAAAAAGGGAAGCAGAGCTGACCCTGTCAACTATAGACCTATATCAGTCATTTCCATACTCTGCAAGACTGTGGAACGTGTACACAACAACCGTCTCCTGTCATACCTTGAAGACAATAACCTCCTCAGTGATCGCCAGTATGGATTCCGATGAGTGCGATCTACCCAGGATCTTCTTGTGTATGCCTGTCACATATGGAACGAGGCTATAGAAAAGCAAAGCGAAGCACTTGCAGTATCTTTGGACATTTCTAAAGCCTTTGACAGGGTCTGGCACGCATGCCTTTTAAGCAAGCTTCCATGTTATGGGCTTCCCACTGACCTTTGTAATTGGATCTCGGATTTCTTGAGTGATCGTTCCATTCGAGTGGTCTTAGAAGGCTACTCTTCCGAACATATGGCGATAGAGTTCCTCAGGGTTCCGTACTGTCTGCAACTCTCTTTCTGCTGCATATCAATGATATGTTAATTCCAGGTACCTTTACGTATGCTGATAACAGCACAGTTGTAGATAGATACTTGGTCAGTGGAGAGAAAATCCAGTGTTGTCGAGAGTCCATGGTTAGCCGTTTAGATTTGACGCTCAAGGCAGTCTTTGTTTAGGGCAATGCCAATCTTGTCAAATTTAACGCTACCAAAACGCAGGCGTGTCTATTCTCCACAAAACGGAGTCCCTTTGAGCTGACTCCGACTTTTCGTGATGTGTCCATACCGATAGCCGACCGTCTCCAGCTACTTGGAATGGAACTGTCGTCCAATCTGAACTTCGCCAGATACATTGTGTCCATGGCCAAAAATGCAGCCAGGAAGCTTGGTATCCTTTCCAGGGTGAGGCGTTACTTCACACTGGGACAGTTGTTTTAGCTGTATCAAGCACAAGTCCGGTCGTGTATGGAGTACTGCTGCCACCTTTGGAATGACTCTGCTCCATACAAACTGGCCACCTTGGATTCAATTAAGAAGCGTGCCAAGAGGCTTATAGGTGACTCGGAATTAGTAGAAGCGAAGCTGCAGAACCTTGAACACCGCCGTAAAGTTGCCTGCTTATCGGTATGTTACAAGATATATCACGGAGAGTGTGCGATGGCATTAACTATTAATGAATACGATTTAATTCCGCCTTCCCCTTTCCATCATCGGGGGACGTAGGCTTGGCTTCCACCCCTATGTTGTGGATTTTCCAAAGATTCGCACGAAGCGTTACGCTTCCACATTTATAAGGCGAACGACTATGTAGTGGAATTCCTGCCTGCAGACTTATTCCCTGAACTTTATAACTTCGACCTTTTCAAGGCGAGAGTGAATAGGCATTATTTAGGTGTTCATGGTCCATCGTCGACCTCATAATCACTTTCCATCAGGTGAGATGGAGGTCAAATGCACACTTACATTAGAATAAAAAACAAAAACACACTCACAGTCCCGCTCTAGGGAAACCCTGTAACGCAAGTGCCATGGACACACACATAGACAACCATAAATTTCACCCAAACTTGAGAGAAATAAATGTAGGCCATACAAATATTTCTCCCGGTCCGGGAATCGAACCCGGGACCTCTGATTGGTAGTCCAGCAAGGACATATTTGCCTCCGTTCAGCCACGGAGGCAAATACGTCCGAATAACTCGAAATATTTTCTATGCAATCTATAAATTGAACCTCTAAGAATTCAACCAATGTGATCGATAATCGTAAAATAAAGTTAAACAAAATAGAAAACTAGCCATTAATAAAAAAATATTTACTTATTTATAGAATGTAACTTTTGTCTAATAAATATTAAGACGTGAGATATACTATATTTTGCTTAGAGGATGGAAAAAAAATAAGTCGTATTCCAGAACTCTACTCAATGCTCAAGTCAGGACTTGAGCAGACTTGAGTATGATTTCAAGCACTGGAAATACGACCCTAATGGCAAGGACTCCAGTATGATTTCTAGTGCTTTAAATCATACTCAAGTCTTGACTTTAGTAGAGCTCTGGAGCTGTTCTGAGCATTGAGTAGAATTCTGGAATACGATCCTCAGATATATTGCACATGCAATACCTACGTAACTCAGCAAAACAACATCTAAATAAATCAAAAAGCGGTAAAAATTGTCTAGTTTCACTCAATGTGTAGTGATGACGACATTGAGATTTTTTGTATTTTATCTCCTTCTTGCGTTGTATGTAGTCATTGTAGTACATACAATAGCAAGAAAATAGCGAGACTGTAAACGTCATATTTATCAGGTTTTTCTACTGATAAATGAGATGGCGAATTTTAGCAGTTACATTTTTTACACGAATTAATTTTTAGTTTATGTATATAACGTTGTGCGTTTCTTGATTATTTGTTACCATTAAGCTAATGGCTCTGAAGCCAATGCTTTATAAATAAAAATAACGTCATATTCATAAAAGGGTGAAGTAATGGCAATTTAATCGATTATATTTTATATCGAATAAATTTGCGTTTTCCGGCATTTCACTCACGTAAACCCATTGTGGATTGACTTATACAACCATTTTATTTATACTCTAAACGGATTAGTAAACTACTAAGGAGCTTAACAGTCTAAGAAAAAACTGTTACCTATGTCAAAAATTGTTCACATCGAAATCTACATAATATGTATGTACAGTATACTAGCTTTTTATATTACATTATTGTAAAACCACATAATCTTAAAATAAATAAACCTTTTATTTCGTATAAAAACAACATTCCATAGATATCTGCATGTTTATTCTAGTTTGGAAACATTATAGTAGCTTAGTGTATATACACACTACTACACAATAGATACAAAATTTTTGTTGTACATTTTTTTAATACTTTCTACATTACACTTGTCTACAAACCATCGATTATCAAATAAAAAATTAACTACTGTATTAATTTGCTTTAAAAAATATAAATTTTCGAAATGTGACCAATTAATAAGTAAAAATGATGACGGAAAATTATATTTTAAGATATATCGCTGGTATATTCGAAACTATTCACCACTAATCGTTTAGTTTGAATCATGATGACACAGAACAATCGTTTGGTCATCTCTATTTCTGAGTAAACGAAACGTCAAAAATGGGAGTGAAAAGTCTGAAGAAAACAATGTGAAAATATCGAATTTTTCATTCATAGAATGAGAAAATTCTGCGTTATGACGGTATAAATTCACTATCGAAATGTTTACTAAGAAATCTCATCAAGATGTCAAGAAATCATCAGTTAAAATACAGGATTCGAAGAAGGATTCTGCGACCAGGCTGAAGCATTTAAAAATTGTCTTAGGTAAGATTATTTAGCCTTTCTGTAGCCTGTACTCTTTTGTAATATGTTTAGGAGATATGTCTGAAGCTGATTAGTAATATTTTAATAATGCCAATGGTTCACTCTTCGCAACATGCTAATTAGTTCAGAATAACTGTAGTTAGTGCGTCGCGGCTTACTTTGTGTTTACTGTACAATTACGCTAATATTTTCTAAGGAATTGACCAACAAATCGTTCTTTTAAGCATTTGTCATATTTTTTCTGGTATTGACGTAATTGGTTTACCCTATCACTGTTGTAGCTACAAATAATTGTAACATTCAATTTGATTACATTAGTGTTTACTTTTTTACAGAACATTACGATGCCGATGAAGCAAAGAGCTATTTTGAAGCTAACTTCAGTCATGTGTACTACATTCTGTACGACAACTTCATTCAAGCTGAAAATAATCTTCGTCAAAGAGGTATTTAACAGTAGCTTTTCATTTTCTCTGTAAAAGAGATTTTTTAATATAATGGTAATGGATTTGCTGGTCCAGGGTGATACAATCAAATCAAAAGTTAAAAAGTTTCCAAAAATAACTAAATTTTGTAAATAAAGTTAAGTGTCACAACTCTGTCTGGACTATTACAATACTATTAAAATAATGAACAGAAATCAGGCATTTCAAATAAAAGTAACACTTAGAAAGAAAGAAAGAAAGAAAAATAGTTTATTTGGTAACCATAATACAAATAGAACGTAAAAACAAAAATTAAAATAACCTTATTATAACATTTACTTAAAATAAAATTTTAAAATTTCTTAATTTTCTTACACAAATTTCTGGTTTATTCAGCAAATCCCTGCTGAAAATTGCTCACTGTTGGGGAAGTTAAAGTGAAAGTTGTGTTAATATTATCAAGACACAAAAATATTACTCTTAATTAAATCCTAATTAAATAATGTGTTTTGATTTGCAATTTTACCTCTAGACATCTCCCCAGTTGTATCAGCATTTGACAAGTCTGGTAAACGCTAACATCGTGCTTTGCACAGACACTGTATCGCGCGTGATACAGCAATCAAAGATGTTGGAAAGAAAATGGAAAGAGTGTGAACGCAATTGCGTGATCCAAGGTTGCCTTTTACATGGATGCTCTCCCATTGTAATAAAAACAAATATGAGCAATTGCGCGCAAAACAATGTTAGCATAAAAAACTTCAAATAGGTAACTGCGCGATTACGTGTGCAGGCTTTACCGCGCGCAATCCTGTGCACTCTTAGTTATGCGCTATAGAGTGAGTGTGTAGAAGGTATCCTCATTATTAGCTCTTACTATACAATAGGAATCTCTGAAAAAAGTCCAAATGTACCTACTGCTGGGCATTTTTCAATAAGGATTTGTAAAATAAGCTAAATGTTATAGTAAATGTAATTGACTCGTATAAATACATAATAGAATAAGTACTTATGACAACTTTTTTGTTTTTGGCATACAGAACTTCCGTTCCACCTCGGTGAGTTATGGGTACCTTGGCACATTGGAACACTGTCATCCATTGTCATATCACCCCGAAACTCATTTAATGCTTTACTAATGTGGTGACATTACTGCAACAAACTCATAGAATCAAATTGTAAAATATGAAAAACAATAGCACAAAAGCTACATTAATTTGCACATGAACACTGCTATCCAATAAATTAGTTATTTGATACTATGCCAACAAAATACACGGAACTGTTTAGAAATAAACCTGTGATCTGACTTATAGGTAAGAGGCAAAAGTACAGACTTGCCAAGCAGTTTTTCAAAATGTTTAAATGAATTAATTTTACAGCCCTGCACTGTTGTAGGGTCACATAAACTTTATTATCTTTACCAATATTATTGCACCAAAAGTTACTCTGCAGCATGCTTAGCAGCCACATATGACGAGAAATATGTGTATTTTATTTATAATAGGTACATACATTTGGAAAATTATTATTTAAGACAAGACAAGGGGTGCGCAAGCAAATATTCAGACTTCAGGGGATTCAAAATAATAATAATAATAACACAACACACTCGTAGCCCTGCACTAGGGAAACACAGGTGCCATGGACACACACATAGACAACCGCAAATTACACCGAAAGTCATGAGAGAAATAAATGTAGGCCATACACATATTTCTCCTGGCATGGGAATCGAACTTGGGACCTCTGCATGGTAACCGTTCGACCATGGAGGCAGTTCAAAAAATAGTGGACATCTTGTTCAGTCTTCCATTCTTGTTGACATTTGGCTTCTTATGGTCAATGCATGCCATTAATCACAATCTGAATTAGACATTATAATAAAATTCAATGCATCAAGGCATTTTTTTGCAAAAATACAATTAACAAGCACCTGAGTGACAACTCTATCAGATAAAATTTTGTTGCAGTACCAAATGTAGATGCTGTAATCTTATCTATAACGATATTAGCTACCATCAACATATCTGCTAGCACTGAATCTATTTTATCACTATCATGCATTTAGTTTCATAGCATGTCACTTTTTGTCGCTAAATAAATGCTACTTGGACTAAGGCAATAAATGTTTAAATAAATACTTAAAAAGTTGTGCAATGTGACGTTAATGACTACAACATGTTGCAATCATAATCTTCATCCTCTACTATCTGAAAGAATTGGTTTCTTGTTCTGTATCAACTCATATTTGTGAACCACTACCTTCTTATTTCTTAATAATTGTTAAATTTGAAACCCTTTTAAATTGCTCTCATTATTCTTTTCAATCATCTTACTCTATATTGACAGTGGTTAATCTTGTAATATAAGCAGTGAAAGTAGCAATTGATTGACAAAACATTATTTAAATTGTATATACTCTTTTAGTGATAACCTATACTAAACTCACTTTGTAACTATGCATGATTTGTGTTGATTTATAAGAATCAAGAAAATATTTAAAAACATGTGTTTATTAATTCTTGAAACTGACAAAATTTCTATTCCATTAAGTATCCAATTTGCTAATAGCATTTATGAGTACTAGCTTATACAGGTGACCAAAACAACATCTACAGAATATTAAGATGTTGAAACATCTCAACTTTCACAATAAAATGTTCATAATATCTACATAAAAAATATTATAAACAGCTGTTTTTTTTTATTTGTCTTCATCTGTATATTTCTTTTTAAACCCAAAACCAAAGAAACCCTGTTCCAATTGTGCAGATTGTTAAAGTCCCTGCATAAAATAAAGAATTCGTCAAATTCTATTTGTAATGTCGCCCATACAAAAACCAAAAGAGTAAGTAGTTTAGTCACAGCAGTTTGGCTTGACCAGTCCATTATTGAATGATGACCATTTATAACACCCATTATCGACATATTCTTGATAATATCAGGTATTACAGTTAACAAAGAATGAGATCAATAGGCATATTAATTTAAAACTTAAGAGCTGTTTAATTACGACTGCATTTAGAGCATTTTGTCTACCATTAACACTAACAAGTTTGAAGGTGCAATATGACGGGTTTAATCTGTTTATAATATAACTGTAGATTTCTTAAAAATTGCTATTGCTTTAAAAATGTAATTCTTTTATAAGTGTATTACTGATGATCTGTATACATACATACATTAAACGAAAAAGCCTACTTTTCTATTGCTCGTTTTTGAAAAGCTTAAATTAGCAGGAACTACAACATGATATTACTGTTTAATTAGTTTGTTTCTTAATGTTTTATAGTTCACAAAGCTGGCCGGGAAGAGCTAGAGGGCGCCCTGTCCCTTCTGGAAAAAGTATTATGCCTTCTACCAGAGCTGATCACCAAGAGATGGCAGTTGCACTCTCTGACAAGAATATTTTCGAAGCTACTCCATAGTGGAAACTCACAAAAACTCCGGGCAGAGGCAGTAAGGTACGATAGTAACAAAATCTGATATTTATTTTAAATACCGTGTATATCACAAGAGAACTGTGGTGATACCTCTTTTATCTGAGCTTATCACGTTTTAATTTTGATCATTGGGTTAGATAGCAATTTTCTATTGTACATTACGTAACATTAATGTTGCAACTAATTTGTATATACATAGACATTATCTGCCAGTTGATGGGCGGGCACTACGGATTTGTGCCTGCTATGTTTCTGACATATCTCTTTCATTTCGACGATTCGACCTTTTCATTGACGTCAGTTTAATGTATGTTATTTTGACCCGGTTTTGTTGAGCAAGTGCTCAGTCTGAACGTCATTGCCTTGGCACGCTTCTATCCACATTCGCTCTATACATTTTGTGTTATTAGCCTACTTCATTTGTTTCCTTATATTCTAGTTAATATATTACACTTTGAGTATTGTATGAAACGTAAAATAGGTCATATAATGTTTTTAGGTATTTCCTGTTATGGTATCAAGCTCTCGGAGATAATGCGCCAGTGGAAGTACATAAAATGTTCGCATCTCTCGTACCGGGCCTACCTGAGTTTTGTATACAGCCAAATGGTTCCCCGCTCAAGGGAAAGCCGTATGACATTACCACGAACACATCAAAGGAACGTAGTAACTTCAGTATAGATGATATAATGCAACATCCGAACTTTAACGCAGAAAACTCGAAGAAGATTGTCGTAGAACAAACTTCAACAGGCATTATAGGGAAAATTGCGAATGTATCAGCTTCAATATTCCATGATACAAATGCTTTAAATCCTGTTCAAAGCGTTGAAATACAGCCACTACTTCCGCCAACTGCCAGCGAAAAAGCTATAGATAATGAAACAAAATATTTCTTCGAAATACTGCTTGATGGTATGGCCACATCAATTACAAAGATTCAGTGGAAGGACAGATCTCACACAAAAGCCATGAGAAGCTTCGCTTTTCTGCTTGAGAGATTCAAGCTTTATTATTTGCCAGTGATCTGTCCGCAGTTCAATTATAAGAACTCTTTATACAAGCCTAACCTTGGTAAGTATTTTACGTTACAAATTCAAGCATTAAAAACAAATAAAAACAAATATTAAAGTGATATTATTGCAGACTTGCCAGTGCAACATAACATCTTAGATGACGACTACGTAATATGCCGAGTCACATTAATCAAATGGGTAGCAAGCTACGCTCACTTCATGAAGAAGCAGGGCAGTGATCACGGTGTGCAACCGTCCTCTATGACTAGCGCAGGATCTCACATGGTCCATTCCACCACACCAACGCCGGCGATGTCTCTGCATCATGAAGAAGAGACTTCGTTTACCGTGGGACATCCGTCGGACTCTAGTAGAGCATCCAGCCATGATTCAGCTTCTAATACACCGCATCCTAGCTTGGAGTCAGGTAAGGCAGATCTCGTTAAAATTGAGAAATGAACTACTTCTCCATTGAATTTAAATTTTGCTTAGTTCCAAAGAGACATTCCATTCTCGTAACGAAGCGATATGTATTATCGTTACTTCCGATGGTAACGCTTGCTATCATTTAGTAGTTAATATGGTGGAATACTTAAATTATAAAAATAAAGTTTTTATTTATTTTTATTTATTAATTTATTATTTCTTTTTTTTATTTAAGTTTCTTAAAACGTCGTTCACTAATGATGATAATTATAAGTAAGGCATATCAAAATCAATTTTAATGCTCACTGGTTAAAGGTTAAGATTGTTAAACACCTGTGTTAACACTGATCTACTCGGAACCAAACGGACGGTGAGGTGGTCAGGTATGTAAAGGCATCGATTGTACCAAGTTAAAAATGTTCATAGGATCAGGGGTCTGCGAAGAGTTAAATTCCGAACAAGTGGTGCGCGACGTTCTATGTTGTTCATCACGCGAACACGTCGACTTCACGATCGAAGTACTGCGACAGGCTTTTTTGCTGCCGTTCTCGCACGCTGCTGCAGTAAGGCGTGTCATCGCGCTTTATAAGGACTGGATACAGATGAATGTTTGTATCATTTTTATCTTGGTATTATTAAATTTATTTAAACTAATTTTATAGAAGAATTTATATTAATACAATTTTATATTTTGGCTGGGGACTGAACCTATATTATATGGAAAATAAACATATAATATTTCGAAATTTGAAACAAATACTTCTACGAAAATATATATACTTCAATGACCTATTTATTACGTATGGTTTTTTTTCCAAGAATACATATAATAATCGATGCATATTCTTTATGAACCATATCATTACAATGTTATCAAAATACATAACATACAATACAATTTAACGTACAAAGTGGTCATGCATCATTCTAGATGTCCTATTGTTGTTACACTGTATTTTTTACGTCATATGTTTATGACGTCTAGGTGGCGGAGATCCCTCCGTTCCTAATGGAAAACACCTACGAGCAAAGCGGTGGCGAGCCACCCATACCACCGCGTCGTCTGCGCAATGACTCCTACCTCGGCGCAGTCGGTAGAGACAATGTGATGGTGCGCGCTGGCTTGCAGGTAATACACTCTTTTGCAAAAAAAAAAACGGGCACCTAAGGAAATTTACGTTCTAAAGTCGATTTGAGTTAATTAAATGAAATTTATTTCTTTGGCTTAGTCTGTATACTTATAATTGTGTAAATTAATGCGCGTGAAGTGAATTCGGGCAATTAAAAGAAAAAAAAAAACGATGGATTCTTTAAAACCGATGTACACGCCCAAACAATAAGAAGTGGTCGGCAATAAAGACAAGATTTTTTTATTTTTTTAATTGAATAAAGTTACAAATGTAAAAACCTAATAACGAGTGTGACCTCCTCTTGCCAAAATCACAGCTTGAATCCTTCTGGGCATGCTTTCCACGATGTTTTTAATAACGTTTTGAGGAATACGTTCCCACTCTTCTGCAATGACTCTTTTTAGCTCCCTGATGTTTTGTGGAGCAGGTTGCACTGATCTTACCCGTCTCTTTAGAACATCCCAGACATGCTCAATTGGATTGAGATCAGGACTTCGAGCTGGCCAATCTAAACGACGGATCCCAACTTCTTGCATGTACGCTTCCACGTCGCCAGAACGGTGCGGGCGAGCATTGTCGTCCATAAAAATGGAATCTTCCCCAAGTGCAGTCAATGTGGGTTGTGCATATGGAATTAGGACTTCCATTATGTACCGGTGTGCATTTAATGTTCCATTTTCTATGAAAACTAACTCCGTACGCTCCGTCGAATTAATTGCTGCCCAAAACATAACGGAGCCTCCGCAATAAGGAGTGATTTCTTCGAAACACACTTCCGCATAGCGTTCCCGTGATCTTCGCAGCACTCGCCGGCGTCGGTCCTCTCCACATAAAGAGATTTTAGCTTCATCAGAAAACAATACTTTATTCCAGTCCTCCAGAGTCCATGAAGCTCAGTTCCGAGCAAACTGAAGTCGAGCAACACGGTGCTCACGGAGTAATTTAGGGCCCCGAGCTGGGCGGTAACTTCTGATATTGGCAGCCAAAAGCCTCCTCCTGACCGTCCACAAACTAACTTCTACTCCTCTTACTTCTTCAAGGCTCTTCTTCAGGTCCACACTTGACGCCTTACGATTCCGCAACGCCTGACTCACCAAAAAGCGGTCATCTCTTGGTTCTGTGCATCGTTTTCTTCCCGAATCGGGTCTTCTTTTGACCGAACTGGTCTCTTGATACCGTTGCCAAGTCCTCTGGACAGTTGAACGACTCACATTTAGCCGCTGAGACACGTAAGTTTGCGAACAACCTTCTTCAAGTAGGGCTATAATTTTACCGGCCCTTATCACTTTATCACTCATATCAAAAAGTGGTATTTAATGTAAAAAGAAAGATTAAATTGTTTAATTTGCAGAAAATATCCAAAAAGTTTTAAAATATCGTAATCAGTTAAAAATCGTTTCAGCAATTCGCGCCATTAGTTAAGCAATTTTAGAATAATCCACAATAATCATTATTTTTCTTTTATTAATTTCAAATTTTAAATTTGGAACGTAAAGAATCATGCCAGGATGCTTCAAATAAAATGCCAATATATCGTCAAATTAATAAAACCTATTTCTTGTTCTTCTTCATTGAAGTAGAGAAAAAAATCTAAAGTACCCGCTTTGCAAAAGAGTTTATATTTTGTATATCATGTATATATTATCATCAACTCATTATCGTCCCACTGCGGGGCGCGAGTCTCCTATCAGGCGAAGGTTTAGGTCATACTCCGCCACGCTGGCCCAATGCAAGTTGGGGACTTCACACGTTTTCCGAGGATTGTGAACCTTCTTCGACGTACAGGTTTCATCATGATATTTTCCTCCACCGAATAGGTCATGGTAAATTCACAATAAATTTTGCAGACAAGTTCCGAGACACTAAGAGATGCGAGCCCGGGTTCGAACCCACAGCCATACATTTTTTATATGACTGTCGCTTATTTTTAACATTTAACAGGGGTTGTAATACCTTGTGGATGCCTCTGCTAACCAAACATTTCTTTGTTATTATTTATTTATTTATTTAAAGATACACTATCAACTTCACACAGAACAATCTTAAAAATAAATATACATACATTCACCATACAAGGTGCCATGTCGCTACAGGTATATACAGCACTAACTATTTAGAATAAGCCAATGAGATACAAAGAACATTCTAAAATAAAATAATAATCATAATAATAAAACAATTAAAAATGTAAAATTACAGCAATAATTTGATTTAAGATTGAAACAATTGCTCAAGTCTAGTCAAGATTTGGCAATGGGCATCCTAGGCACTTTAAGAGGAACGTTTAAGTTGATGAGGGCCAGTGCCTCGGGCGATTATTAGGAATACCACTAAAATTGATAATTGTTACAAACAGAATGTGCTTCAAGTATTCATGACGCAAGCGGCAAACGTCTTCCTAGCGTCACCGTCACCCGTGGCGCCACCAGGCGCCCTGAGCCAGCAACAATTACTCGAAGAACAAACGGACACCTGCAAACGCGTCCTCAACATATATCGATACATGGTTATGCATGTCGCCATGGACGCTAACACCTGGTGAGTTATTAACACTCCCCTTTCCTTACCCTCCACTAATTTCATAATGATTACTTATACTCCCATCCCATTGACTATTTTTCATATCTCATCGTCTATATATTCATATACATCTACACTTTTAGCAAAATTGAGTTATTAACATATCTGGTATCAGCGAAATGAGATCCATAACACCCTATAAGCGGTTAGTTTATATCTTATTTAGTTTCATTATTAAGCAAAATCAGTGGACATTTTTCAAATAAAACTATAAAAAATAAAAGTGTTTTAGGTGTTCTCGGAAGTTATCAAAATGCAAATGCGTTAATTATGACAAGGAGGGCAAAATAGATAAACCAATCGCTCTTACATGAATCCATACATGATTAACTACGAGGGGCGGCTGTTGAGTTCGCGGCCTAAGGTACTTAAACGTAACCTACCGTCTTATTAGTGATACTAGTTATTGTGAGGTTCAATGTTAGTTAAAATTACCCACTTTTAATTTTTTTAAAGTCATAATTGAATATTTCGTGCTGGGTACAACGTCATATCAGCCGAATCTGCAAATTTCTCGCAATTTGGAACACCGCACCGTAATAAAGTACCTTGTTAAAAGGGGAAAAACGTCGAAAGACATTTTTGAAGACTTGCAATTAACGCTTGAATAGCAGAAGAGTTGCAAATCAGCAAAGAAAGGGTTGGCGAAATTTTACATCAATATTTGAATATGAAAAAACATTGTGCGCGTTACCAAATATGCTCACGTTTTTCGACAAGGAACGACGACTCGAGAGTTGCATATATTTTTTGGAGTTAGTCGCCGAAAATCTCGACGCCGTTTGTGACCGTTGATGAAACATGGATTCGTCAGTATGACCCGGAGTTCAAACAAGAATCTACACAATGGATTAAAAAAAGTCGGCGTCGAAGCTTATGGGGACTGGGATAGCGAAGGCATTTTGCTAATCGATTACCTGCCTAAGGGAACTACGATGAATGGCCGGTGTTATGCAAATTTATTGGCTCAGGCTCCAGAAGAGACGCGGGAAGCTAGGGAGTGTAGTGTTCTTTTTGCAGGACAACGCGCCCGTTCATAAGGCGCGGATTTTAAGGCAGGCTTTAAGAGACATTGGCTTCTCAGAAATAAGTCATCCTCCCTACAGTCCAGACCTAGCTCCTAGCGACTTTTTCCTTTTTTCCAATTTAAAAAAGGACTTACGGGGACGGAGATTTTCACAATGAAGTGATAGCCGCCGTAAATCGTCATTTTTTTTAATAATAACGCACACACTCAACATGGCCCCGCACTAGGGAAACCCTGTGTCGCGGGTGCCATGGACACACACATAGACAACCACAAATTACACCCAAACTCACGAGAGAATGTAGGCCATACAAATATTTCTCCCGACCCGGGAATGGAACCTGGGACCTCTGCGTGGCAGTCCGGCATGGTAACCGTTCGGCCACGGAGGCAGTTTTGAAGACAGACAAGAAATATTTTATTGGTGGTTTAAAGGCACATTATACGCCAGATGTGAGAACTGCATATCACTTGATCCCTCAATTGATTATATTGAGAATTAAAAAAACTACAACATTCGACTACTATTCTTTTTTTTAAGTACCTTAGGCCGCGGACTTATCAGCCGCCCCTCCTAGGTTCATGAATAGTTTAATTTTGACTAGTGATATTACGATACTAGATTACCTGGGTACCCGTGTAAGGCTAATGGTATAAAGGTGAATATCGATATTCTGTTTTTTCCGGCCCAGTATTGTTATGAATAAAATCACTACTTCTACTAAATATCTGTTGATTTTTCTACAAATTATGTACATCCGCACAGATGAAGATGGAGTGAAATACGTTGGTTTATGAAGACATTTTTCGGTCTCCAGAATATAATTGACGAAATAAATTAAAACGTAAACTTAATTGCTAACTAAGTAATACGCATCACATAGTAATACATGTTGCAGTTAAGCCGGGTACTCATTAGCGAGCTGTAACGTGACAGATACAGTAACGAGGTTGTAGGTAACAGTCTTCAATCAGATGACTTAATGCGAACCACATGCGTTCCGCTCGCGGCAAGCTCGCGAACCACGCGATGGACACACACTATGATTTTTGGTTACATAACATGCAACGGTTACGGTTACAGCTCGCTAGTGAGTAGCTGGCTTTAGACTATAAATATCTGTAGGTAAGAGGTAAAGGACATTAAGTCCATATTTTGGAATTTAGATGTTTTTATGAAACGTTTATTTTGGAATGCTAAAAATCACGCAATGGTAAAAGACATTACGTCGTTTGATTTTTATGTAATATATTTTATGTGACCTTAAAATTTATTTCAAATGCGTAATTTAACAGCCCGTTTACAGTAACAATTACTATTTGGCACACCTTGTGAAAGAAATCGTCCAGGGAAGTATTCCTTATCTATTTCTGCCGCCAAATAGTAATATGAGCCTTACTGCGTTCCGGTTTTGAACAGTAAGGGTGCTGGTAAAACTATAGACACATAGGAGTTGTCAATTTCTGTCTCAGGGTGACAGGTGTCGTGCAGTATTCCTCAGATCATTCCGATTTAAAGCTCGTGAGTTGTGTTGCAACTGCTATGGACAGGCGTGTCGCTTACCCGCCTAGTGGTAAGCGACTTATTCATCCCTAGGTATTATAAAAAAAAGTTCTTTACCTCTCACCTACAGATATAGTCTACCTATACGTCACTGTAAATGCCACCCGACTTGTCGCCGTTTGCGGTTAACCGACAATGGTTAATATCTGAGTGGGCACTCAGTTACACGTCGCGAAAGTGTTCGCGCGGCGACCGCACTGCAACCGCCCACTTACCACGCTTTCACCTACATTACTTGCGAATCTGAATTCTATTTACTAGGCAACAATGTTAAATTGCTTGGAATAATATAACCGCGTGGTTGCCGCGTAGACCAAAGACAAGCCAGCCTCGCCCGTACGGCCGGATGCTCATTTAAGTTAAAACGTAAAAGCTACATGGATAGAGCGTATTTGGCCATGGCAGTTAGATACACGCGGCGGCAGCCGCGCGGCCGCCGTGCCGCGTTTTTTTAGTATGTAAATTTACTTTCATGTTTGATTTTTCAAATACCCACTATACGTTATTTTTGTACAGGGAACAATTGCTGCTAGTGTTACTTCAAATAACATCTCTTGTACTCACAAAAGTACCACCGAAGAGGAAACAAGAATCACTAGGTAAATTTACTCGCAAAACGCATTGTAAATAGCTTTTTACGGACACCTAATTGCCTTTACAACATATTTATGCCTTGTGTCAGTGTCGTACCGTATTATTCTAGGAGGGTTCCTGGCACCTGCACTGTTCCAAACGCTTATTGTAACATGGATAAAGGCCAATTTGAACGTTGCTGTGAAACAAGAATTATGGCAGAACTTTATGGAACTTTTGACAAGGCTAACGCATTGGGAAGATCTTATAAAGGAATGGGCTGTAAGTTGCCGTTATTTTGGTAAAACACAATTGTTAAATGACCCTTACGGTTTAAATGTTCTACTCCGTCCGGTCTTACTATTAGGTCCTCATATATGATATTGCCGATTCCAAATATTGAGAAGTTTGAAGTTTGATATTATCTTTCATTTTACTTAGAGTTGCAAATTCAAATTATATAGCAAATGAAACAATTTTTTCGAATCTAAATCGCGTATATTTATTTTTTCAAACAAACCTATAATATGCACTGAAACGAAGGGATTCTGAATCGGGTTATCACATGTGATGAAAAGTGGGTAGTTGTATGACAACTGAAAACGTCTGTCGTACTGGTTGGCCACAGGGGAGGCAGCCAAACCATGTCCCAAACTCAAATTAACGCACTTACACTCAACATAGCCCCGCACTAGAGAAAACCTGTGTCGCGGGTGCCATGGACACACACATAGACAACCACATATTACACCCAACCCCACGAAGGAAGTAAATGTAGACCATACAAATATTTATCCCGGCCCGGGAATCGAACCTGGGATCTCTGCGTGAGAGTGTAACCGGCAGTGTAAGTGGCATGGTAACCGTTCGGCCACAGAGGCATTTAAAAAATTGAGTCAACAGAATCTGCTTGAATATATGGTGGACCAGGGCAGTTCATTACAGCTTTTTGAGACTTGGCACAACAATTACTGCAAAGTTATACTGTGAAGAATTGCAAGTGATGATGGACAAGCTCGCTGTCACACGACCAAGACTTGTCCACTCCTTCTCCACGACAACATCATCTCTGGACTGTATTCGCACTTTTCATCAGGCGCGGTGCAGTCATTTCGCCGAGTCACAATAAAAAAAAAAAACACTCGTCCACACATCGCACATCGGTCCTTCTCAAAACTACAGGAGTTTCGCTTGGAAGAGCTCCGTCACCTACCATACTAACCAGACCTTGCTCCAACTGATTTTTATTTTTTCCGAATTTGTATGTTTTTGCAGTGAAAAAATTCGAATACGATGAGGAGTGATGAATCGATTCTGATCCCCAGGGTTACTATAGCAGACGCACCAACGAACTTCCATTGAAATGGCTAAAGTGCATTGACAATAATGGTCAATACTTTAATTTATAGAATATATATTTTTCATAAGTTTTTTTTTTTCAATTCGGTCTATATAAAACGGCAATTTCATAGGTGAGGACCTTATATTTACATTCATTCTTTCTAAAAGTTTATTGACCTCGCGATTTCTTCAAATGACAGCATTTTTGAGAATCGCCAGGTATTGTGAGTTTCAGAAATAAAATTCATTTTTTTAAAAGTGAAACTGCTATCTCCTGTGAATATAATTTAGTTTGGATTGTGACTGCAAGCTATGGAATTGAAGCTATGGAATGAAATATAAATGAATAATCTTGTTTGTTTCAATTGAATCTTCAAGTAGATGTTTGATCTGTCGATTTATTAGAAAACTATGGAAACGTTGACCCGCGTGCTTGCCCGGCACGTGTACTCGCTGGACCTGACCGAAGCGGTGGGGGGCGGAGGGGACGCTCGGGGTACGAGAGGTGCGCGACGTGTCACCCCCGCACCCGTGCCCCTCCCACGCCCTGCACAAGGCTTGTCTACGCACCACCAGTCCGTTGCTGCTGCTAACGATACTAGGACTCCTGGTAAGCTTACAATAAATCGTTTTCAGCGTCTTGTATGGCAATGTCCTCGACGAAAGCCTCAGCTCTATTTTTCACAATGTGCCGCGATGGCGAAAGATGTTGAAAAGAGACTCACTGCTCCAAAAGACATCTGATTACTTTTCACCTACACAAAAATCCATTCTTTACATGCAACAAACGTAGCACAAATGGATTGTGCAAAAACGCCCTTATCCTTCATAGATAAAAGATTATAAACACCTATGGGAATAAATTCCTACATTTTTGAGACAAATAATGAAAAATGTAGCTGGCCCTAGACTGACCGAAGTACGAAGTTAAGAAGTTCTGTGTATTATGTTGCTAAAATAACATTAGGTTTATTTCGTTACAATACAATACAAATATACTTTATTGCACACAAGAACAAATACATAACAAAATACAGGTACAATAGGTGGCCTTAATCATTGCCAATGCAAATTGTCGGCGAAAATATTAAAGAGGTAGACAGTTATGTCGCTTAAGAATTACTTGATTACATCTGTTACTTATTGATTACGAACTTATGTTTAATTTGTTTTTAAGGAAAATCGCCAAAATCGGGACACGAAACACACCAACGCAAAGAAACGAGCACTTCCCGACGCCAACTGCAACGATGCCGGAGCGATCCACACCTTTCCAAACTTAACACACGAACAGGTACGCAATAACAAATATTATTTTATTTATCTTATTGGAAGAACTAATCTTCAGTAATTATACGTTTATAAAATATGTTATTTACTACGTCTGCTTCTCTAGGTCTTTTATTGTGCAACATTTACATGACTAATTACAAATATAAACAAATTCCTAAATACCTCATTATTTATTCATTTAAATAAATAAATGCAAAACACACATTTTGTCAATTATTAATAAGATTGAAATGCATATCCGTGAAAAAAAAAATTTATGCATGTCATTGTTGAGTTTACATTCCGTGATATATCGTTCTCGATAAAAAAACTTTGACGTTTATTTCTAATGTTAAAAAAAATGAAGTTATAGAAGCGGCCACTTCAAAAACATAGTTTTTATGATTGTTTACGTTAAGACAAATGATGCTTAGTATAGGTTTACAGTCATGTTTTCTATGTAAAAGAAGTTATGACCAATATAATTGTCGCAGTAATGAATTAACACGTGTCACTTTGTTGGCAAATATCGTGAGGAAACCTCTGAAAGTATAAAACATCTGCAAAGCAATTTAATGATGTGTGTGAAGTTTTCAATCCTCATTGAGCCCGCGTGGGAACTACAGCCCAAGCCCTCCCATTGTGAGAAATAGTCCGTGTCCACCAATGGGACTATATATAGGCTAACTATTTTTATGTTGTTATTGCAACTGCATCTTGTAATCGGATGCTATCCTGTTCTTGAATGACATTTCTTCCGAGCATTTTTTTTGTACGCCGACAAAAACATTTTGTTTAAACTGCATGAACATAACTTAGATCACAAAATATTAACGACCACAAACGTTTGAAGCATGCAAAGGAATAAATGTTTACTTAAAGGAAAACTTATCAATCATGCAATCGAGAAACTTCTTAAATTTAAATTGGTTAATTTATCTCTCGTGTAATAGAGGCAGATAAGGATCAGGACCGGGATAAGACGAGGCGATGGTATTCACTGGACTCTTTACGGAACTCTCAGCGACACGAAGAAAGGGATTCCGATGGTGGTAAGTTTAATCCAGAACAGTCTTGGTTATAATAGCTTATCATTGTAATACTTAATTGGTAAGGCGATTGAGTTCGAGCATCAAATAACTGTGTATCACAACAATATTCCAAAAATGCACACGATTCAGAACTTTACGGGTACAGGTAATGTGCTGTACCCGTAACTATAATAATTATATGCGTCGTTATCTACATATGTAAATATAAATATGTTATATTAGCGATCGCAGTAAAGTTAAGATCTAAAGATATCGGGAGAAGATCTAATAAAACAGGGGGCGCTGTTACCTATCTTGATTAAATGGTTTGTATAAATTTTTATCATTATGAATTTGTGTTCTAATTTTTAAATGAAACAAATAATAAGATTTTGTTTGTTGTTTCGTTTACCATAGGATCTAGGTCACCGTCGCCGGCGCCTTCTAGTGGCGTCGAGAGCAGTTCCATCAAAGATTCACCGTTGCAGATTGACTTGGTCTCAGACGGTGGCAATGTTGGTACGTAAGTTGCGGCACCTCAAATGACGCGCTTTTCAAAGAAAAAAATTTTGACAACAAGTGGGTATTTGATTGTAATTGATTTTTACTTACTTATTACCAGAATGGTCAGAGAATGATCCAGGCGATGGAGGTGGCGAAAGTGGACTAGGTTTAGGCGCGGGTGCCGGCGTAGGAGTTGTACTGGGAGGGCGAGCTCGCGGCTGGTTGCCAGACGTGGCCGCAGTGTTGTGGAGACGAATGCTTGCCGCTTTGGGCGATCCCAATAATTTAAAAGAACCGCAGGCCCATGCGCATCTCTACAACTACCTCATACATCTCAACGCTACGCTGCTCAAGGTCAGTGCATTTTTAGGCTGTTTTTTTTTTCAGAAAATAAAGGAGTGTCACAAACTAGTGTAATAATTTCACTAAAATAATTGAATGTCGTGGTGAACATCGTAACATTCAATAAAAACCTAAAAATACAGGAATTGTTAAAAATCCGTCGTCGTAGCGCTACATTACGTACATTATATTGAATCTAGTTATTCGGGTTCGATTCCCGTGCCGGGAGAAATATTTGCATGGTATTCATTTATTTCTCTTGTGTGTTTGGGTGTAATTTGTGGTTGTCTATGTGTGTGTCCATGGCACCCGCGGTACAAGGTTTCCCTAATGCGGGGCTATGAGTGTGTGCGCGCATTACTAGCATTTCAAAACGGGAATAAACGCGATTAAACAATTAGATAGGTATTTGTACAGGTATTTCAGTTTTTGCCCACCCTCATTTACAAAATATAGCCAAGGTGGATGATTCCAGTGTCGAGATGGAGTAGTAAAATAGCATCACATATTAGTCCGTGACCTCGGCGAGTAACATCGCGATAATAGATGTATGTGCAAATTCCTAGTAACCCGTTCATAGATAACATCGAGTATTTAATCAGAAATCCATCCCTGGCAACTCATCAGACAATTGGGCCTTATATCATTTTTAAATGTCAACTCGCGTTTGCGCTGAAATCACAAATTAGAAAACTGAAATAATACAGCGCCAACTACTGACCTGTGTGTATGCCTCCGTATATTCCAAAAATATTCTGTATTTATTGTAATAAAGATAATATCTCTCAAAATAGGGAACTGTTCATTCGGTGGCATGGGAAAAACAGCAAAACATTTAATTACAACACAAACGGAATCATATTTCATCGGTAATTAAATAGTAAATTGGAATTTTTAAATTACCGTCCTCTATAGCAAAGCTCAAATTAAACTGGTCTTTTTGAAGTGAAACTATTGACGACACCCGGCAATTGTTTCGAATTCGGGCTGACCCATCGAACCGCAGTTGTCATCGTAATGATTTGGCAGAATAATTTTCAAATAAATTCAATGACATTCCGTCTCTATTTCTGGTTATATACTCAATGATAGACAATAACGGTGTTTACCGTAATATTAAATATCAGAATATTGTATTACGGGGTACCCCGTTTCGCTATATGGATATTAAAAAACCAACTACGGGTTTTAGGGTCGTATTCCAGAACTCTACTCAATGCTCAAGGTAGGATATGAGTATGATTTCAAGCACTGGAAATACGACCCTAATGGCAGGGACTTGAGTATGATTTCGAGTGCTTTACACCATACTCAAATCCTGACTTGAGCATTGAGTAGAGTTCTAGAATACGACCCTAAGAGTGCGATTTCCAAGTTTCTCCATAGAAAAGTGTCATAACGTACTGACAAAATTCAATAATTTTCATTTACCATCACTTAGACAACCACAAATTACACCCAAACCCACGAGAGAAATAACTGTAGGCCATACAAATATTGCTGAATGCAACCTGTGCGTGGCATTCCGGCATGGTAACCATTCGACCACGAAGGCAGTTGAAGGACTGGCCATTTATCAATTCGTATGACGGTCCCAAAAGTGTATTGTCCTTTAAAGGATTTCCTAAACTGTGACGTATCTCAATATCAACTTACGTATCTCGACGCTTGAACGTGATAAGGCAAGAATTTCAAGCGTTTCATTGTCACCTGATTCATTAACATCGATTCCAACTTATACTGTTATCAAAGAGAATGTCTGTCACGTCCAAATTACAGATGTAGAGCACCCTGCCTACGATCGTACCACGCGCTTTACAAGCTACCTCTGTGTAACACGTCTGTCACTCTTCTAATGGTCGTATTCTAGAACTCTACTCAATGCTCAAGTCAGGATTGCACTGAAAACACAAGCACTGGAATTACGACCCTAATGGCAGGGACTTGAGTATAATTTCGAGTGTTTTAAACCATACTCAAATCCTGACTTGAGCATTGAGTAGAGTTCTAGAATACGACCCTAAATGTTTGCTTTTTTATTAACCAAAGATTAACTTCTCTGTGACATATCTACCTAGATAATACATCTTCCATTGCTGCTGTAATTGTTTCATGTCTCGTATCTATTATACAAGTGAACCGCAATCCGCCAACATTATTTAAATCTGGGACATATTTTTCGGGATTCTGTTGTTGACGTTACACAAGGAAAATATGTACAAGTTAACACAATTTACAAAAGTTTACTTTTACCCAATACGAAGTAGGTTACTTATAGGGCGATCGTGTTGCCAATCGTCAACTCAAGAGTAAATTTTTTAAACATCATTTGTTGTACTAACAGATGCGAAATACGCTAATTTGGTTAGACGTCATCAATGTTGTGTACATTTTAAGAGTTTCGCTAAACTCAAAAAGAAATTTTATACAACCCACTAGGTGTCATGTTTTTATGGGCATGTATTTAAATGATCATTTTAAATTTGCAAAAGCAGCTGGTGAATCATCTTTTTTAATGATTGATCCTCTTCTCTGAGACGTAAAATAAAATAAATCAATGGATATTTTAGTCTGTTTTGATATAAGCAATAAATGTTTAATTTGTATAAATTAACTTTGTTAGTTTTATATTGGGCCATAAAACTAAGACAAAATGAGCATTAAAAATAAAATTTAGATACTTATTTTTAAAACAAAGTAAATGTTGATTATAACTGTATACTGATATTATATTAATTATAATATAATTTGACCTGAAAACATGTTCGAAAACACAAGCTAATTGGCTTCTGACACACGCCGACCGCTACCGCTTCGCTCGCTCGGCTCGTGCTGCTTTTTCATATACTAACCTAATCTACTGAGTGGAGGGCGCAACCAAGGAACCAAGACTTATTAGGAGACCAATATCAAAAGATATACTGGTTCTGAATGTAAAAGTCATCAGCAATCGATAAAAGAAAAGACCAGTAATAAATAAAGGGATCATATATTAATTTTAAATATCAAATATGAATTTAATATGCTTTAAGCATAATGATAGTATTACCTTCAATGCAGTTCGTTTATAATTTATCCGTAGTTCAATTATTATACATGGAATAATTAATTTAGATTGATTTAGATATCATTTAAATCCTCTAGTCAGTGTTTAGAAACAAGATGTATATGCAACAAATTACATGCGTGACAGTGTAAGACATATCTGTGATAATCCAAATTTTAACCAAGTTTCCCTTCAATGATTGCCACATTGTTAACATAATCGTTGTTATGAATAAAACATTACTTGTTAATACAATAACATAACATTATTCACACGAAACGCGGGAAAAACTCACTTGTTTGCCATTTTTTGTTGTTGTAAACATTACCGCGTTCAAAATGCATTTTTAATCGTAAAATTAATTGACTTTCTTTGCGGAAAACAGCTCCGTATTCGCCTCGTGGTCGGCGTAGTCAATGGGTGTATAGAAATAAACTTGTACTAAAACCAAACCACTAAAATCAGCATACACGTAATAAATACTATGTAATCCTACACCCGGCATCTGCTAATATTTATCGCAAATATCACACTTATCGCCGATATCTCGCGGTTGGCAGATGGCGCAATATGACCATTCATCTCACATCCCATTGTTTATAATGTTCATATCTATTTCAAACACGACATTTATTTGGTCGGTTATAATAAAGTAATCTAGTGAAAACGTAGTTTTTGTGAGAACGCGAGATTGGAGCTAGTCACTGAGCTTAAGTTAGTGTATGGTGTTTATCAACTTGTGCGAGCTGCTCAACTGCAGGAAGCTGAAGGACTGTCAATGCGAAAGAAGGGACGGAAAAAGGAGACTGCTAAGAAGGCGGCTCAGGAAAGAGGTTTTTATTTTCTGTTTCATTTATGAGCGTGCTTACTGCTTATACGTATTATTTCTAAAAGTTATCGTGTAAATCAATTATTACAAAATAAACATTATTAAATTTTTTTTTTTACTTTGAACTTTGTGATGTTAAACAATTTGATTTTCAGGTGGATTATACAGAATATAATGTTTTATTATTATTTACGATTCCGTTGTTTGTTTTATTTTAATTTAGCGTAAACTTTAAGCGAGCGCATTGTAATAATAAGTAACTCATTGCGTTATACGAGTATTGCTCAAAAAAATAAAATAAAAAATAATCCCGTGTTGGAATGAAACAAAAGATTGCGCATAACTCTGAATTGAAAACAAATCAACGTTTCTGATAGCGCCTTATCACGACCGAGCGAGAATAAAATCAGTTACGCGGGTACTTTAAGAATCTTATAGGAAGTGGGTCGAAATGGAAACCAATTTGACAGTTTATTGAATGTTTTCGTAATGTTTAGAAAGCGTTAAAGGCTCGAGTGATCTTGTTTCAGTTGCTATTTAAATGGCTTACCGGTTACTTGATATCTTATTTAATGTGCATCTCGAATCGTTAGTGACCGAAGATAATATACAGAATTTTGTTAATTCGCAGGTAAACAATCGTTTGCTATTTATACATAAAATGCGTTGGGACCACTAATATAAATTTGAACATGGTGAAAGTGAAATGGTTTTAATATTTATTACAACTACATAGTATACATTAAGCGTTCAATGATCTAGTTCTGCAAAGATAATCAACAAAGTTTTTGTTGGTTATTTTATTGAAGGCTATCCAGCTTTCTATAGTTCGTAACCAGATATAATACTCGTATATATAAAACGAATTACAGTATACACGTTACATAAATAATTTACGAAATATTTCCACATTTTTGTTTAATATTGCTCGTGATTTTTATTCCATATGAAATGAAGGCTTTCAACGCCCACCGTTATAACACGCATGAAAAATTTCTACACATGCGTAGCAAATCTCGATTATAATCCACGTGACTGTGAAGTCTCGCCAACCAACTATTAGCGTTACATAATGAGTAATTAACTTTTTAAATTCCAACACATATACAAACTAAAGACAAAAAAGTTGATCATCGATTATTCAAATTTTTTACCGACTTCAAAAAGACGAGGTGGTTCTAATAATCATTTTTCTGTGAATGGCAGATTCCGGAAACGGCAGATTTTTTTAACGCCAGATTCATTCAATAGCAGATTCATTCAATAGCAGCTTCATAAAATGGTAGAAAAACTATATTACGGATGCCTCAGTTTACACTAACGTGGGATGGTCAGGCACAGGAAATCACTTGAATATCATATGGAACACTTGTTATGGATTCTTGCGCAAGAAAGAACAGGATTTGTCAATATGCGCGTCACGCTTCAGATTTCCCCATTCTTTTTCACAGTGATAAAAAGCGCCATCTACTTTACAATAATGTTAACGTTCTTTACCAACCAAATTATAGGAATGTTACGTATACAATATTTAAAATTGTTATTTATTATTGTACAATATTAATATTTCTTTATATTTATGTTTTAACAATAATAAATTTAAAATATCGTTGGCAGAAACGACCTGAAAGAGCCAAACGGTGCAGTCCCAAGGATCCCAGGTTCTGAAATTGGTGGGGTCAGATTTACTACCGGATTTATAAAGAGAGATAACATTGCTTTGCTTCATGATATTAGGAAACCGTATTTGTTAAAAATGCATGTTAAGTAAGGAGCAGTACAATTAACTATAGAATGGCTTTTAGAATGTATATCTTTTATATACATGTTTAAACTTCAACTGAGCAGGCCTAACTCCACAGATATATGTCTAGATGTCAGACTATTATGACTCCATTATGTTCTTTAAGTACAGAGATTCAGCGACTGCAGGAGACAATTTAACGATTTGGTAGTCAAAATTGGAAAGTCATTAAGAAACTTTTCGAAAGCTTTTGCAATTTCTAAGTCTGTTCTTACTGTTTGGTCATAATTATTAATTGAAACTCTAGGTTACGAGGTTTGACTCTTCCACTTTCGCTGTTTAAAATTGTTTTAAATTTTAATATTTATAAACATTGCTTTAACCGCGACACAAACACGCTTAAACATTTTGGAATACTTTCTAACAAAATCATTGAAACTCTCACTAGTGTTATAAGTCCTTTCATCGTAAAGATGGTATAACCTTTATCGACTTTTATCAATTCCCACTGTCGCCCAATCACAAAATAAAATGATTCCGGATCCAGTGCCCTATAACACAATTATTATTAATTTTACGTTATAACATAAATAGTTGTGCATAAATTCGACTGTATTTTTTGTGTATGTTACGTGATTACTCCGTTATTTGTGAACCGATTTCGATGATTTTTTTTGTGTTAGAGAGGAAATTCCACCTCTAGCAGTGGCAAATTAGGGGATGAGCCGGTTTATTGGCTTTCACTCACTTTCCGTTAACCGATTTCAATAAAACTTTGCAAATAGATGTGTTCCACAAATATTTAGGTCGGTTTTTTATTTATAAAAAGTTATAATTATTATTAAACATGGTTTAGAATCATCTGGGACACAAAGATAGTAGTCTAGCCAAAATATTCGCATTAAGTTCTCTACTTTAGTAGTTTTTAATATTTATAGAAAAATATTTATCACTTCAAAATTGAAATTTGCCACATGCATGGGTTATGGAGACCTAATCAAAGTCGTGTGTTTCGAATGTACAATCGACGTTTAGGACTGTTTTTTTTATTTTGAGAAACTATTTTTTATTTTGAAAATGTTAGGTGTTCAATTAACGCTTGTAAAAGCTAAAATGAATACTTTTACAAACTTTTTTATGTTATTATTGAACACTATTAATTAAGTCTCTTCGCCAATGTGTAAAATACAAACAAAAAAAATTCTAGAAAATCTCCCATAGGGTGTACATTGAATGAAAATAGTGCATTTTATGTCAACTAAATAACAACAAGTATAAAACAAACTGCATAAGGTGAACGCTGATATCGCCCTGGCGGGCCGAGGCACAGGTGATATCACGGTATGAAACGTTAATTGCGCAAATCCTAAGTGCACTTTGTCGGTTTTTTGCGTCTTAAGTTTACACATGTTTGATAAATCTTAGCTTATATTATTAGTTATTCATTACATATGTTTGAAACAGTATATCCCTATATTGGAAATGTTTCAACAGATAAGCGCGAATCAAACCCTCAATGGCAACACAGAAATCCATGTGCCGTTCAATCTGGTGGCAGGATGGTGCCTCGAGGCCGAAGCTCTGCCACCTACTCACAGGTTTGTCTTCACAATCGTTTATTATTTTATAATATATACATTTAATACACATAATCGACTTACATAGTAACATATTGCAATAAGAGTTTGCCACCGTGAAGAAACAAATCGCAGGAGAATCTGCATAGCGAAAAAGGTTTTCTTCACATTGGAGGCGTGGCGGACTATAACTTCAGTGTGAAACTACGGACTTCTTGTGATCTCCATCTCTCTCATTACGCGTTCCTAGGAAATGCCCTTACTTTTCCTGATTCCAAAAAGAGTAACAACTAATATATTTTCTGTATATTTACTGTAGAATTAATACCTAAAATACTAGAATTTCCCTTAATAATTCTCTGACAGATTACTCACTTTTCACGTCTGATTTAAAGACTTTGGGCATTCTATCACTCTGAGAGTTTCTCTAAAACTTACTGTTCACTTTTCCCTGTAATAATTACTCACTAATGTTATTCATCATAATTTTATCCAAAATCGATATCTTAATATTTTTTATGTTTGGAATTTTGTTGACATTAGGAGACAGATCTCTTATACTTCTATAATCTATTCTTCCATAGACTATCCTAGAAACTACTCTGTTCTGATAAGCGATCTTGGCAGAAGTAGTGTTGACGCTTGCACCCCTTTAGCTTCGTAGTTTTTACCACTCGAAGACTCTCTAAAGCCACCTAATACGACAGAGACTAAAAACGTTGTCTGTAAATAAACCCGTATCCAGGTACAGACACGGTTATCTCACGATCTACGTATGTTTTCTTTGTCCATCATCGTCACCGTCTATAGTTCTACATTTAACTCCACCGCCTCAAGAAAGTTCTATATGAAATTTTATGTTAGTCTTTAATTTTCCAGAGCGGGCAAATTGCTTGCCTTGCGGTTACTGTGCGAATCGACACAGGCGCAGGGCACAGGCGCACCTATTTCGTGCAACAACCGCTTGCATTTAGCGCATCTGCACCTTTATCAGCGAGCATTGCATCATGGTAAGTTTATTTATACAAGAATTGTTTATTCGTGAGCCGTTTCTTTAAGGAGTTAAAGAAAATACCATTATGGATCAGATTATTTCCAGAATAATTGAACAGTTTCTTAATGTACGGACAACGGCACACCAGACTACACGTTTTTGTTCGAAAATCGCCTCCATTGCAACGGAACAAGATACGTCAATGTGTAGCTTGATGTGCTGGCGTGTGTACATAGAATAGTTGAATTATAACTTTAAAAATCATCAATTGCAAACAATAATTCATTCGAGTGCAATAAATTATACTTTTCACTTTAATTGAAACAACTACGCTTGAAAATTGGATTTCTTGTAAAGCTACCAATTAATGATATTACATCCGTACATACTAAAATTCTTTACATTTTTAATATGATTTTTTTGAAGTTGTAACAAAGTTACAACTTCAAAAAAACAAAATAATAACAAAATAATTGTAGTTTACTATGCCAGGCTAAATTTTAGGAAAGCAAAATCTTGAAGGCATGTTGTCTACTTACTAACATGGACTAAACATAAAATATAATATGCAAGAACAATTAACTAACAATTAATTACACTAAAAAAAGTACTCATTTTTAAATAAAAAAAAATTGAAGAAAAAAGACGGGAAGTTTAAATTATTAGATACTTACATTTTATATCGGCAAATAAAAATTCGCCAATATTTAGTTAATAAGAAATCATGCAAGTTCATTTCAAAATATTTACAATTTAATTATTTTAATTGAATCGTCCTTCTATTTTATTTCTAGGATTCCTAGTTCCTATTAAATTATAATTACCTAGTTTTTCTCAACAAAGACGCATACTTCACAAAAAAGTATGGTACATAACTCTCGCTGACAACATGGCCCTGACATTTTATTTGATGTCTAAACAATGGCGAAACATGGTAGCTTTAGCCATGTGAGGTTGTATGAGTAGATTTAATAAGTTTGGTGTAAACATGACTTCTATGTTACTTCTGTAACAATCAAGAGTAACGTCCTAATATTTTATCTTACCAGTTTACTTGTATATCAGAATTCACTTTCTAATAGACTAACTCTAAATACCCTACGAGACAATTTAATTATAGCTATTTAACATTATTACATAGTGCATTATTGAAACTTGACTCCCATTCAATCGAATTTTAACGTAACATAATAATAATAACCAGCAGACCTACTTTTGTATAACTTGGTTATGTTGGTTATGTAGACTATAAATAAAAGCAGCTTTGGAATACCTCTCTGTGGTACACCGCAGTCTCAATTATTGTATTTGATTTTACTACTTTTTTCGTGTGTTTGTCATAAAAGTAATATGTGCTTCCTGTTGGCGATTTTGAAGACGTGGCTTTCTCTCGAACTGTACTCTTATGTATTAGCACTATATTATATTTAACACAAAATCGAAAGCTTTCGTCATGTCCGTGAAAACGGTTGAGATAGCGTCCCTGTTTGTTAATACTTTTTGTTATGATTATTAATAGGTTTTTGTTTCTAAATAGTAAATAGTAGGTACGTATATCATTAAACAAAGACGCTATAAAACTATTTCTTTACAGGTCTTACTGGCGAAGATCGGTCTGTAGTAGACGTTTTAGTAGAGCACGCGGCACCACGCTATTTATCGCTCGCTCTCGACGGATACTCGCTACTGCTACTTGACTTCGTACATGCTTCCACTGTCGTACTTAACTCCTCCGATATGGGACCTTCGGTTAGTAGAAAGTTATGTTTCTCTTATATTCTACGTTCTCAGGCTTAACTCAATTTTATTTTTAAGTGGCACTAAATGATATAGGAGAATGACCACATTAATTTCGTATATTTTTGTCAAAACTTAGTGATTGGTTACCCATACAATTCACTGAGGTATTACATCAATACGCAAAAGATATCAATTGCACTTGCGATGTCTTTAACCCATACTTACCCATTTACAGACAGTTTTTGGATTATCAAGCCTTGATTTAATTTTATTTGGTTACAGTGTCCGCGCACGGCCGCCGTCACTTTTCTGGGTTCCCTCCTGTCGCTGCCAGACGGTCTGATGAACGCGCCTATGCTGCAACCTTATCCTCATCAGTACAACACCGTCTCCTGTCCTGATCTTAAGGTATTCATACCACATCAACACAAACATTGTATTCAACGCGACGACCCCGGTGGCCTACGATTTACACTGTGGGCGCTGGAGGCAGAGATCCTGGTTCGATTTCCGGTAGGACCAAATTGGAAAATTAACTTTTCTACATTGCCACGGGACTGGGTATTCTGGGAAGTGCCCTAGAGTGAATTCCGTTGCTCTAGTACTCGTGTGATACAGAGAATTCTTTAGTTTGAGACCAGGCTTCGGTGTGGTTGTCTGGTACATAAAAATTTTATAATTAACTACAGTGCCTCTACCGAATTCCTGAATTTATTTATTTTTCGTACATGACCACTACGGGTAGTGACTTTAACCGACACACTCATGAAGAGAGTTGGAATTTTTCGCTTCGAAAAACCATTTAAAATAAGTCAACAAGAAGCAACGTCCCTGTGTCGCCAGGAGCACGTCCTGAACATCGTCGTCCGCGTGTGCCGTCGCGAGGGCGCGGCCCGAGCGCGTTGCGCCGGCGCCTGCGCGCTCGCGGCGCACGTGGCTCATCTGCTGGCAACGCGCGCGCCTTCGCCGAGGCTGCCGTCTTATGTCACTTGTCTGCTGCAGATGCTTATGGTAACTCACCTTTCACTTATTGAAACAAAGAATTTGTTCATCTTAATAGACTTATACAGAAGAAACTGAAGCGAATCCAACTCAGCAATATCACAGTTCGACTGCTGTAACGCTGATTTTCTGTTGGAACAGCTTTTATTTCCATTTGGTTTCAGGAGCACCAAATAGATAAAGAGGCCTTTCTTATCCACATGCATATCAATGATGGCCCCGGTGGAGCATCGTTCTATCAGCATTATTTTTTAACTTTACCATTGGTCATTTATTTACACACAAAATAACATTTCAAAACTGTTCACGATTATATGTCATTTTGTTTTCTTATAGTTCTTTGCTGTCTGTCAGTCATATTTGTCTGCCTTTATTCATGAACAGAACAACGTGTTATGTCTAATACATTGACATATATAAATAACACGTTGTTCCGGCAAACGGGCGATATATGCCTGTAAATATTCAGATCAAAAAGTTTTAAGCTCCCACTTTTTGCTTCACCGCAGAAATTGAATCGCGGGGGGTCTGTCTCGTTTTCCGTATGACATCCGTCCGAAACAATGACTGTCAAATAAGTAATACTCGACTAAATTAAAAGCCAATGTAAAGTATGAAGCTTAATTCGCATAAGGCGTTTTTTAATTTAGTCGAGTTTTTTTTAACTGACTTGTTGACTTTTATTTATTATTTGACAGTATTTTTTTAGGATAGAGAACGAGAGTACAGGGCCTGTTTGGTTGAGTGTAATCCCATTCTTCCGTCTGCATAAATGTAACTTGAAAGAGATAATTTTACCTTCATCCTGGTTTCAAATAACCCATGACACTTTTGAAAGTAGATAAGACAATGTGATCAATGCATCTGTTTGACAATAGTCAAAATTAAGACACTGTTTAATGTTGCTTTGGGTACATATATCATATTATTTATTATTATAATATATATATGTAAGTTTATTATGTATGTATAATAAGTATGTTTATTGTATGTTATTTATTTATACCATACAAATTATCGATTAGTTTTTCTTCTTTTTTTTATTCTAGTATTTCTATTTCTTCTTGTTTAAGTGTAGCACCAACCTATTGTGTTTTTTTTTTCTGTTTGGCCCAATGGTTGACTGGTAGAGAATGCCTTATGGCATTAAGTCCGCCATTTGTACTTCAGTGTATTGTACAATAAAGTTTAAATAAATAAATAAATAAATGTGACACCAAATTTTCTGTTGACCAATATGATTCTGTTACAGATGAAGAACAAAAACATAGCCAAAGTAGTGAGTGACGCAATATTAGTGCTAGCAGACTACACCGACCGCATTGTAGAGTTATATCCCGGGCTAGCTGGTAAGTTAGATTACCAATGCATGGTCAACCATATCAACCCCTTATATAAGTATTTTTTTAGTAACCCGAAACGTATGCCAGTACTTATACAGAATTAAATTGATAAGTTGCTACAAATCGAAATGGGAAGTTCAGTAACAGTTACTTGTTCGTTTTAAAGTGTAATTTCTGAAAATTAATTAGAAAAAAAAATTGTGTTATTACCGTCTTAGATAGCGAACAGTTATTGTTTTCACATAGATACGAATTATCGGCGTCCCAGTAAAATAAAATAAAATTAATACAATTAAGGGCATTAAAGTATTAATTTAGACGCGCCCGTCAGAGAGGTCATAGTCGCGTGCGCAATTCGTAACATTGTGAATAATCGATAGTGTTATTGTTGACGTGATGTAAATGTTATTAAAATGCCCTAGGTGAAGAAGAAAGTCGTGTACCATTTACCAACGAGCAATACCTTAACATGGTTACTTAGTGTTTAGAAAACTTAAAGACAATAGTATGCAGCGCCGCAGTCCTCAATTATGTTTGCAAAATAGAGGTGGCTATTTCGAGCAATCATTAAAATACGCATGTGTGATTATTGCGCTAATTTTGAAGACATTGTAAATAAGACAATTACTGCAAATCGTGATTATTTCAACTTTTTAAATTCGCTAAAAATACAATAATTTTTGTGACAAATAATGAAGTTTAGTTTTTGTGTGAAACATATGTGACTATTATTGTATTTTTGATAGCTCTAAGCCGATAAAAGTATGAAAGGAAAGTTGGTTTGAGTGTTTACAAACACAACAGCGCGGCGCACGTGCGCGCGGGCGGAGTGATTACGCTAGCAATAATATGAGAAATTGTTTAATTGATACTTTCATTGTTTACAATTTGTTCACAATACTAAAAAATATATTAATTTTCCAAACTTCTCTAAATTTTATTTGGTATCTAAAATTATATATTTAAATTTGTAGCACCTTTTCAATTTCATCCAGTATATTGTTTTTGTAATCAGTATGTCTAAGTGGATCTGTGTTATGGCATATATAGCTTATTAGGCACTGGTACCTTATTTTAAAATACTCTCATTCCTCTCTCTTTCTCATTTCTCTCTTCTCTCTTTCCCTTTCATTATAGGCTTAGGCCTATAAATGAGAGAGAGGTCTCATTTATATAACATACAAAATAACAATATTATTTTAATGCAGTGGGATTACTATTGTATATGTCATTACATAAATAAATATAATATAATACATATATAAATATAATCGTATAAATATAACATATGTGAATAGCACAATCCAGGCGCTGCCACGATATCTACGAAGCGCCTTGTGTACAATTTTTTCTTAACCATTGTCAACAGGTAAAATAATAAAATGGATCTGCGCTTGCTTAGCGCAAATATCGAGTAGCAGTACTCGGGACTCGGTGAAGCCACTGGCCGGGTCTTTGCTGTTGTGTCTGGCTGAGTTCGCCGTGCGCTGCGGGCCCGCATACCTGATGCAGGAGAAAGACGGAGATCAGTCCTTGCTGCTCATGATATTTAAGGTAAGATTACCTACAGATTACGAAAGATTAACTTCACATTACATATTATCGTCTCGGGCGTTCTGGAGGTTACGTAAAACTACTGCCGCAAGATGTTGATAATGTTTTTAATTTGCTTGGTTTTCGACTTCCTTGACCCCATAAACGTTCACACATTGTAAAGGAATGTCAATCTTTATAATGAAATACCCTTGGAACCCTGTGTTTCTGTTTCCTTTCTTTTAGAAAATTTACATTACGACCATGCAAGTGTTGATGACATTTGACACACAATTATATGTATAATTTTTGTTTTCGGTATATGACATAATGACGTCAATTTGTTGATATGTATATATGTATATGCGTGGGAGTAAAATAACTCCCAATGCAAAATCGCTGCTGTTATATTTAAAATTTATTTTATTATTTTTATATTTGGAGTAACATTGAACATATAATTCAATTCAATTCAATTCAATTCAAATAAATAAAGGTTTATTATATAAACATAAGGTCTAAAAATAAAATACAGAAATATAACAAAAAAATTTATTGGCAAATTGTACAAAAATGACTAAAAAACAGGAAGTTATACAAAAAATGATATGAAATATTATCATGCGTTTTAACTCACAGTTGTGTAGTAAAACCTACACGTGCTCAACATACTTCCTTAGTAACAAGGAAATAACGAATCCTCATACTTTTAATGAAGGAAATGATTATCACGGCCACTAGATGGCATATTGTATGATATAACTAGAGATGAAACGGAGAACCGGTAACTATCCGGCCGGATACCGGATGTTTAAAATTGAGACAAATTTATAATCACTTACATACGCTAAATAAATTGCATCATTGATTAAAGATTATAGTAATATGATAAACATGGTGCTGTTGGCTCCGTCGGTCAGCGCGCTTAGGAAACTTGTTGCTGTCTGTGAGTCATATGCCGCGTCACACGGTCTGGTATACAATGTAAAGAAGTCAGAGGTCATAGTTTTTGCGGCAGGAAGTAAGTGTCCTACTGTTGTACCACCAATCAAAATTGCATTCTATTAAGAGCTACCCCATTGGGAAGCTCAGAAACAGAGTGTTTAAATTTAAGTATCAAGGACATTTAATTAAGCCTGATCTCAGAGACGATGATGACATGGAAAGGGAGCGTAGAGCTAATATGTTGGTTTGCTCAATGCTCTGCTGCAGCTAAGATAACTCTTTTCAAGGCTCACTGTTCTTCTTTTTACGCGGGTAGCCTGTGGTACCAACATACACAAAAGTCGTACATTGCTCTCCACACCCAATACAACAATGCTTTTAATATGCTTTTGCGGTTGCCGTGTCTGCAATGTTTGCGGAAGCATGGGCAAACTCTTTTTCCGTCATACTACGGAAGAAAATCGCTTCTCTTTTAAACAGACTACGTAACAGTGGCAACAGCATCTTGAAAATGATTGCTGAGAAAGTGGAGGGACCTCTCATAAGAAACCTCATAGAATTTACGCGATCTTTGTTTAAAATAACTTACTAACATAGTTTATAAGTCAGTTACTTATTTAAATGTGGATTTACGTTGTCCGAAAATAAATAAATTGTATAAACAGCAACTGTAGTTGCTGTAGGATCATTGACAATCTGTTTATTACTTGTAACTGAAAGACCTATGAAGTTAGATAACGCTATCTGTAAATTTAGTACTCAAATTTCAATAAAGGCGAATTATGGTGGATGAGAACCAGTTTTTCTGCATTATGTGGTGAAAGTTGGTTCTATTTATTTTAATAAACGAGACCAGCTTCAAATGACAGTTTTTCAATATAAACTCTTGCAAACTTTGTTAAATTTTGAGTATTGCCAGACGACCAAACGAAAAGAGCGCTATCACGATCAATTTGAACTGTCTTCAAATACAACGTGTAGCCTACAATAATGAAACGTGTAGATTCGAATTAGTTAAATCACAAACAAATTCATGAAATCAAATTTAAACAAAATAATAACGGGCCTATCTAGCTTATAGTTCCAACAACTAGAAATTATATATATAATATGTCCAAAGAATGATGTAATTGCCTTTTTTCATTCTCCACGTATTCTCAAAGTATTACCGAATTTGCGATTTTGTTCTGTTATGTATCTGTTTGTATTCTAGAATAAATTAATCGTTTTTCTTAAAACCGAGTGACCACAGCAAATCAAATCATCAATGTGAAAGTGCAATCATTCACTAATTAATCAATCACGGCGATACACACTTTAAACCGGTCGCGACATGTTTACGGCAGTGTGTCAGATATCCGGTGGCCGGCTATCCGGCCGATGTGCTCGCCGCATTTGCGGTATCCGGCCAAGTCACTACCCGTTTCATTTCTAGACCATAACTATATAGTGTAGTTTTTACATTTACAAAAAGCACACACAGTTATATTAAATTCCACAGTGTTACGTTTAACATAATTATGCTTATTTTAAGTGAATGTAATAAAAGCTTTAGGTCATCTACACAAAGAATATCACACATAATACAAAAATATGCAGTGTGACTCAAAGACTAATTGAATAGCAGAACTATAAAACATTTTGAGTAATCAAATTACAAGGCTGCTAGGAACGTTTGCGAATTTGTCAGTGTCTCATACTTGTCAGTATATTATTAACACAAAATCTACTCAACTCTGAATTTCAGAGATTTCAGATTTAAATATAGTTGATCTAAGGTTATAACGATAACTTTCAATATACCGAGATATATCCAATTGGAGACCAATATCAACGTTATTAACAGTAAAGGCGCTGAGTTGTCCTCTAGTGACGTTTACAATAGCAGAATCCTCATTTCATTCAAATTCTATGTAGATGAACAAAAGCAGTAGCAGTAGCATTTACTGTTGTCCGGGATGTTCAACTTGTTCCTGAGGCTTGTATCCGTTTTCGTCAGCAGTAAAAGTAACAGTATAGACGAGGCCGTCTGGCGCAGTGTATTTGTAGCTACCTTGCACCTCAATCGCTTGATGGCCCTCGTCGAACTGTTTTAGCGTGCCTTGCTCTTGGCGGGAAGTGCCGTCACTTGTTTCAAACCTGTTGCGGTGAGACGTATTGTATTAACTTAACTGCGCTTAGAAGCTCAGTTGCAATGCCACTGTCATGACACGCGTACGCCACGTGTGCGCCACGTTTACAGTCACAATTAGTGAGTTAAAAATTATTGAAGCGCAACAGACACGCGGGTGTCGCGCCTCTGCAGCGCTTCCTCTGCCTCTAATTTGATAGCGCCTTTATTTAGACTTTACCAAAAATTTTTTTTATGAGAGTAACTGCTATCCGACGTTGAGACCAGTTATTGATACGATACGATCTATAGTTTTTTCTCGTCGGATTTGCACTAAAAATAAATAACTTACGCAAACTGGTAGCCGTCAGGACTAACTTCTGAATCGTGCCTCAGAATGTACACCTCAGGTTGTTGCTGGTCGTGCTGGGGAACTGCCAGCGCGACTATGGCGAACAGGGCGAGCGTGACTAAAACCTTTAGGGAAAACACAATAAAACTTTTTTTACACATTACTAATTAAAATAATTTGGGAACATTGCTACTAATTGTTTAACTTGCATTTTCTAAACGACCGATACCTATAAAAGAAAGGGATATATGGTTTATTATAAATGCCATTCTAATAGAAATCGTTTTAACAAATTAAAGCCAAGGAGTCAGTCTGTAATAAATGCTATCTCAACAGAAATTTTTTTTCGAGTAACAAATAATTTTTTTTAAATATACTTACAAACTTCAGCATATTGAGATAATACGATTTACTATTTTTACAAAGTACGTTAGAACTGCTGATGTCAGCAATGAACTGTGAATATTCGATCGCGCATCAACGTTTTAAACGCTAACACTAATTGATGACAAAATCTTATTTTCCCTCAAAAACTATCGCCACACGTAACATAAGGTGCTAATGAACTTTCAGACAGGCGTCCCAAAAAATGACTAGTGTAAATTTATTGCATAACATAGTATGGCCTTGAAACGTTTCTTGTTATGGATGTGCTAACATTTACTTATGCGTTTAGTTATCACTGTAGATATAGAAAAAAAAAAGTAACTAGGCCATGTTTACGCAGTTTTGTGAACTTTCTCCAAACAGGCTGGATTTCTCGCAATGTTTACTTATAAGTAATCAGAAATCTGAATTAGTAGATTTACCTAAACTTCAAGCAAAAAACATACAGTGAATAATACCTCCTCTTTGAAATCTCGCAGCTATTGAAAATAATATGCAAAAAGTTGTATGTTTACTTACAATTACAAACTTTTCTTCTTAAAACCATAAAAAATACCATAAAATAATTTCGGTTTCAGGGGGAGGTGTTATTCACTGTATGTGTAGATATTACGTAAACTTCCCTTTACTCTGACTATTCATATCAGTGCTTATAATCCGAGTACAATGTTCGTAATTTATCGGTTTTTTTTTTAAAGGAAAAGATTTAAACATTTATGAATTGTATGTGAAACGTTCGTTTTAACAAAAAAAGAATATCTGTTCACCCCCTAGGTGTTATACGCGGTGATGCGAGGCACTAATGGATCTGACATCGACGGACTATCTCTGCCAGTAGACGAAGATTTCGATGCAAACATACAGCTGGATAATCTAGGTCCTAAATCTTCACCTGTTTCCACTATTGATGTGAAACTTTGGGCTCAAACGGTAAGACCAACTTTTTTTTCCTTTGATAAGAGATTGAAATGGACGTCTTTTTCAGACGTAAGAGTAGCGTATGCATTGTCTTGTCATTTTAATCTGATGTAGGCAGATAGTTCGGATCTCCACTTGTCCCTAATCTGCTTCTTGTCTGCCTCTATTGCTATTTTTACAATTTTCATCAAAGCTTGACGTAAAGGATTAAAGTCGGTAAAAGCTTGTTATTTAGTTTAAAAAAGAGAAAGTGCGCAGGGGCAAGTTTCAACATCGCGATGGTCGCCAAGTGCAGTGCGTGCGGGAAATATGTGTCGTCGCAAGAGGGCGCAAATATCACTTGCTCGCTATGTAATAAATTGATGCATAGGGAATGTGTCGGTGTTGCGCGATTCGCATCCGTGCAGCCTACGTGGAGCTGCCCTGACTGCAAGGTGAAACAGCCAAGGAACAACCACGACAGCACACCGGTGAAGGGGCAGGAGACCCGCATTAGTCCACCCAAAACTGGGAACTCAAATAAGGTTGCGGGCAGCGCTGCCGTTGCCGCCCTGGCCCCACGTAAAAATTTCACACCCACGGTTGGTGCCACTATTGCCTCGCCGACAACTGTCCCCGGCGGCTCAGGTTCCACCACGCCGACCCCCAGTATGTCCCCCGGAGCTGTGCGCCCCGTTACCACTTGTCAAGGCTCCGGCCCCTCCACGACTGCCTCTTCCAACGCTACGTATAAAGATGAACCTGAGGAGGAAACCACTCTCATTAAGGAGATGAGAGCTTTCCGGGCTGAAATGAACGAGGCCAGAGAAGAGATGAAAGCGCTGCGTCGGGACCTGCAGGAACTGAGATATGTGGTGGATAGGTGCGAAACGCGCTTGGACAAGTTGGAGGAAAAGGTACAAAAAATAGAGGAAACAAAAACAAGTGACGAAGAAGTGTTAGTGCACATCAGCACATTAGAGGGTAGCGTCGCTCGTCTCCAGACCGAGATAAACGACCGCGACCAGGAACTAATGCTTAACGAGGTGGAACTCAGCGGTATCCCGGAGGAGAGGGGGGAGAATCCAACCCACATCGCTTTGGCGTGTGCAACAAAATTAGGAGTTTCCCTCGACGAACGCGACATAGTAGGATGTGCGCGCGTAGGCGGCCCGCGACAGGAACCGGGTGCGCGGCCCCGACCGCTGGCTGTACGGCTGGCGCGCCGTGACGTGCGCGACGACCTGTTGCGTGCCGCGCGGGTTCGTCGTCGAATGTCCACTGAAGGCCTAGGTTTGAAGACCGCGCCATGCACGTTCTTCATAAACGAGCGCCTGACAAGGACTAACAGAGCCCTATTTTACCAGGCTCGTAAGGCTGGGGAACGGAACCGCTGGCGATACGTATGGACCAGAGAAGGCCGTATATATGCGCGGCGAGACACCGGTGCGCCGGCGCACCGTGTTCGTTGCGAAACAGACATAAAAAAGGTTTTTGGGTCCGATGGCGTTCGCTCTCCGAGCTCCAAAGGTGGTGTTTTTTAAACTGTTTATGTTGAGTTGTTTTTATATTTTTGCATGTTTACAGCTAGGTTACTACTGTTATTATAAGTACCCTCGATATTTCAACAGTCATGCGTGTAGTGAGGCAAAACCGAAACACGAGCACAATAATAATTTATGTTACGTACACTTTACAATGTATTTAATACTCATATATTCTGGTTTATTCAACATATATTTATATTTATTACGTTTAACTAAACAAATATTTATTTTCTATTTACATATATTTACATTATTTTTATCATATAAATCAAAATCTCAACATGAATACCATACCTACAATAATTTACACATTTACCCGATATATTATACTATTCTACCATCTAATAATTTGATCGTAATCTCAATTGTAATTAATTTATATAAAATATCATACTAAGCGTAAATTTAAGTTAGGGCTGATAAACATCGGGTCACTGGGAACTCGCCACGACGAGCTATTGGTGGCAATGGATCGACATGACGTCGATATTCTATCGGTCAATGAGACGTGGTTGCGGGAGGGCGAGGAGGGGCGTGCGCCGGCGATACCCGGCTACCGCTTACGTCACATTCCGCGGCCCGCTACTGTGCGCTCGCGCGGCGGCGGTGTCGGTTTTTTATATTAGGCGGGGTATAGCGGTGCATGTACTGGCGCATCCACACACTGAGCTGGTGGAGCAAATGTGGTTAAGCCTGACTATTAACGGCATTAAACTAGTTATAGGCACCGCGTACCGCCCACCATGGTTAAATATTAACAGATTTTTAGATGGCTTGACCGAAACTCTAACTTGCTTTGCTTGGTGTGACAATATGGTATTAATGGGTGATTTTAACATTGATTGTATGCGTAATTCTGATAGTGACTATAAAAAACTTTTGGATTTTCTAACATGTCAGAAGTTGAGACAAATTGTTAATAAACCAACTCATTTCACACAATTCAGCGAAACTTTAATTGATGTTATATGTACAGACATTGATAGGGCCATAATACAGACGGATTATATTAAAGAGTTAAGTGGTCACGCCTTCATTACCTGTGAAGTAAATCTAAAAAAAATAAAACCAGTGCCTGTAACAATAATTCGCAGGAATCTACGGAATATAAATTACAATAATTTTGACTGTCAACTGATTAATTTAGATTGGGCTAGCGTATGTGAACTAGAAAATGTTGATGACATGGTGCAACACTTCAGCTCTATGCTAATATCAGTATTCGATTCACATGCACCGTTACGCACCATGTATATCAAGGATACACAATACCCATGGATCACCTACAATATTAAACAAATGATGAGGCGCCGAGATGAAGCGCATGCAGCGAGCCGTGCAAGTAATACCGACTCAAAAAGAGAATATTACAAAGAACTGAAACGAGCTGTAAACGAGGCATTGCAGGCTGAAAAAAAAGCGTACTATAACCATCATGTAAATTATCAAAAAGACCCAAAAACGCTGTGGACCAACATTAAAAAAAATATAAGAATAAAATCAAAGCCTGAATTACCTGTACATATTTACAATGATCCTAATATTTTAAATGACAATTTTTTAAATGTACCCGGTAATACATCAGTATCAATTTCTCAGTTGACATTTTTTGAGTTTCATTGTTGTATTGATCAAACTTTCGCACTTAACAGAGTAGAAGAAGCGGAGGTACTTAGCATTATTAAAATGCTTAAATCGAATGCTATTGGAGCTGATGGCATATCTTTGGATATGTTGCTGATGACTCTGCCTACCACGCTGTCTACTATTACAGCCATCATTAATAGGTCGATAGAGACAAGCACTTATCCTAAAGCATGGCAACACGCAGTGGTAAGGCCTATACCCAAAACCAACAACCCCACCTCACTTAAGGACGTCAGGCCTATAAGCATACTTCCTTGCGCATCAAAAATTTTGGAGAAAATCGTGGCAAAGCAGCTCAACATTTTTTTGGAGACAAATAAAGTGCTTCCCGTGGTGCAGTCCGGTTTCAGGAGGGGTCACAGTACTACAACATCAATGATCAAAGTTGTCGATGACATCATATCGGCCCAAGACATTGGTCAGGGCACGTTATTGACACTACTTGACTTTTCTCGTGCTTTCGACTGCATTAGTGTAGATATACTGCTATCCAAGCTGCATTACTACGGTTTCAGTGCGTCTGCCATAAAATGGTTTAGCAGTTACTTTAAGCATCGATCACAGCATGTAGAGGTATATGATCATGATGGTTCAGCATTGTTTTCAGCCAGTCGCGACGTCAAAAGAGGTGTGCCGCAGGGCTCAATTTTGGGTCCTATCCTATTTATTATATACAGCGCTGATATAGTCCACCAAATTAAACATTGCCAGTATCATATCTACGCTGATGATATTCAAGTTTACACCTCTTTTAAACCAAGTGATACCCAAAATGCAGTAAGATATCTAAATGATGATTTAGAACACATTGCTGCATGGGCTGAGTCAAATTCACTAGTGCTTAATGGTTCTAAATCTAAATATATGGTTTTAGGTACTCGCAATCAGATAGTGAAAATTAAAGGGCAAGGTATATCTTTGGTGATTAGAGGAGAAAATGTTGAAGCGGTCAGTGAAGCTCGAAACCTGGGTTTGCTAATGGATGAAACGCTTCGTTTTGAGAACCACGTAATAGGAGTTGCTAGAAACTGCTTTTATAGGCTCAAGCTGTTGTACCAAATTAGAAATTACCTTAGACAAGATGTTCGCATAAAACTCTGCGATTCGTTGGTACTATCTAAATTTAGTTACATGGACGTAGTGTATGGGCCGCGCCTTTTAACCCATACAAAGCAACTAGTGCAACGGATACAGAACGCTTGCGCCCGCTTTTGTTTCGCTATACCACCGCGCACGCACGTTACACCTTACATCAATGATGCAAACATTTTAAAAATGAATGTTCGAAGGGAGCTACATTTAGCGACATTATTGTTCGGAACAATAAAATGTAACAGTCCGACTTATCTGGCCGAGAAATTGGTTTGGTCTCGTGACGTAAAGGGCCGGTTCACAAGGGACTCAGCCTGGTCGCTCGCGATCCCGAAACATCGCACTAATGCGTTCCGTGGCAGCTTCAAATTCGCCGCTTCGAAGTGCTGGAATGACTTGCCACCGCCGCTTCGAAGTCTGAAATCAGTAAATACTTTTAAATTTAAGTACAAGGCATACCTTTTGGGCAACCAAAAGAACATGTAATAAAAAAAAATGAAAAATTTAATTTATATATATTTATCTTACCTTGCTGATTTTGACTCGAGGTGCTGGCACGTCGTCCGCGCAACATAATAACGCATTGCGCATTTTCATTTATTGTTGTTTCTTGTTGAGATAAATTGGTCACTATTGTAATTAATATATATATTCTTTTATTTTATTTATTTTTCTATTTCACAAACGTAACGCACGCAAATTTATTACGTCATATAATATCTGAAATGAAATTACCTTATTAATATTTCAATTTTAATTATATTTATAGAAATCATTGTTTAACTATTGTGTATACCTCAAATGGAAGCCATGTTTTACTTACATTATTTCCAATGTAAATCTGTTCGGGGTTCTCACATGACGTCATAGCCATATAATTATTATAATTTTCGTTTAACACTGCTTAGAAATAGTAATTGGTTCACTGATGAACTACAAAAACGTTGTACTCCTTTTTATTTATCATTATTCTTGCACTCACTGTATTGATAATAATATAATAACTTTAATAATGAATTTTTAATAGAGATTTGTTTCGTCACGAAATGACGCGACCGATCCCGAGCGGAGTGAGTCATCTCTGTGAGCATTATTGCCGTGTTCGTTTATCCTGTGCTCGAGTTTTTATGTTCTATACACATTATATCTATATTTCTGTAGTTAAACCTATTAATAGCGCGTATTTTCAGTATTGTCTATCAGATTGTCTGTTACATAATTTTTGTTTTGTCCTTGTTATTACACCAATATTTAACGTGTATATTTAAACTTATTTCGTAAACATATAAAATTTATCATATTACTGCATACATATATTATTTACTTTAAATATTTTATTTTATGAAATCAATTATTTATTACACAGAATTATTTATGTATGTATAATATTGTTTACGCTCGAGTCCGTGCTTCACTCAGATCGGGCTTGCTGAAAACCAGCGCTACTGGTCGATTTTTCTACCAGTAGCTTAAAGCTGAGCAAGTACCGTTTGCCTGCGCCGCGACACGCATTTATTAATAAGTTTCGTAAATTGCAGTACCTGTAAAATTGCAATTAATTTCTCTGTGCTTTTATTTTATTTTATTTTTAAATTTTTGTATTGCATTTATATTGTGTTCAATGTCTAATTTTATAATATTGTATTGCATTTTTTTAAGTTCATGTGTGTCTCGGCGAGAGTAATAAATCATTCTTATTCTTATTCTTATTCTTATTCATTCTTAAAAAAAACCTCAGTAAATTCACATTTTGATTAAATATTTAATTAATATGTTTGATTAATATGTGAGAAATATGTATTTATATAGTTTTAATAATTTAATGTTTTCGATATAGTTTTTTTATGACATAATTTTTGTTTTGTTGTGCACGTAAACCCGTTATTGTAATTATTGTGTCCTGTATTTAGGTCTGCAGGAAGAAATTTCTGTTACAAATAAGCAGTACCTTTTGTTTGTGTTTTCCCTGTTACTAAATGTGTTTTTGTTTTTTCTGTACAATAAATGCATAAATAAATAATATATATTTTTCTCGCACAGATTTGCACGCAACTAGTGTTGTTCCTTGGGCACTGGCCTCTCTGGAGCGGCTGTCAGCTCTCGTCAAGTGTGTGCGAACAGCACGACAGCCCGTCTCTCGGCGCCGAGCTAGGCCCAGCAGTACTGAGCGCTCCACACGTACAACTGATGAGATTCTCTGAATCCACGCTAGCGAGTCTCATTGAGCTACGTGCCTTAGAACCAGCTGGAGCAGCTGCTACCACTCCTGGTAAATTTGTTATATTTCATGTCTCAGTAATCAATTATGCTCTGAGTTCTACCTTTTTCGTTTTTTAAAAAAAATTATTAGTATCCTGTCTCTGCCTACCCCGATGAAAATAGATCGGGAGGTGCATGTATGTATGTATGAATTCAATCTGCAAGAAAAGAATTATTTCCTGATATTCCCGACACCAATTTGGAACAAGTAATGATGGCATATTAAAATCACATTACTCGTATAACTAACATACTTACTATAAACAAAACCCGTGATATGTATGTAAGTAATACCTTTGCATTTCTTTAAATTACCTGAGTATTACACTCCTCATAATTTTCATTCAATCTAAACTTAGAGAATTATCTTTTGATAATACTTTAGAAAAAATAGAAAACATATTAGTTGTATTTCTGTTGTAGTAGTGAATTGATACAGAGAAGTTTGGGTACATGCAATATAGTTACAGAAACAACACGGCTGTGATTGGCCACTAATTTGTCGTTGTACCTTTCACTTTTTATTTGAAATAGTTTCGGAGAAAATCGATTGTCTGACGGTCACCGAAGACGATCCATATGCACCGTTTTATTGCAGTCACAATTGCTTTTTTTTCAACTGGTAAAATTACAGGCACATGGAACTTGTCAACTTATGTCTCAAGGTCACGGGCGCAGTGGTAGTGTCCCTCAGATCTTAGCAATTTAAAGCTCTATGTGACACTGTAACTGTTATGGGCAGGCGTGTAGCTTACCATCAGGCGGACGACTTATTCGTCCCGTCACTTGATGTTAAAAAAAACTTGCACTTTAGATGTAGTAAACAATTGGTTAGTAATGTAGTCTAGGTAATGTTTTGTGATGTTTAATTTAATTCCAATTCGTTATGTTTTTTATTTCTGATTAACTGAGCCTAAGAAACTATTTAAAGTTCTAATTCGTCAGACTTCTTTTGTGACAAAAATTTGAACAACCTACACCTTACTATTTCTACTTCTTCTTTAGTTTTTCAGCTGGTTATTCTCGGATTTAGCAAATTTTATTTTATACTCCTATCTCCGGCAGGTCTAGCAACATCAGATCGTCAAGTACGAGTGTTACTCCGAGACATCGCGGGTAAAGCCTGTTGGGACGCTTCTGCGCTCTATTACGACCCTTCTACCACCATCACAGAAGCGCTTGAACACCTCGCTTTACCTGACAGTGTTGACAGCCCCAGGGACAACACACTGTCATCCTTACCTCCACCTCTACCGCCTAATTTGCTACCAGATTTTAAGAATAGTCCTCCGGATAAACATCAATTGGATCATGTAAGTATCCTAGTAGAAAGGCGAATTTTAAGTTGTATATCACACATTAAAGCTAGGAAATGAAACTGTTTTTCGGATCTAAAGCGCGTATATATATTTTTTTTTCAAACAAACGAAGTTTCGGGTGCTTTATAGGACTCAATGTCACGGCTTTTTTATTTCCTATGTGTAACAATCGCGAAAACCTAAGAACTCGCATTACATAGTTATAATATAACTCACCGCAGAACAAAGATCTACGTGCAAGACTACTTGTTCTCAGGACATAGTACATTTCGCTCGTTCTTCTTGGCTGTGGATGTCAGATCGACTTTTGTTCGATTTTATATTTCCGAAACGAAATAAGACATATATATTCTCAAAATAACTTCACATAGGCCTTATTTTGAATAATCAAATTATTCTCGTAACGTACTTATTCTCTTTTCGCTATATAATCACATCGGACTGTCGATATGTAAAATACTAACAACCTCTCAGGACTGTATTACTAACATCATAAACAACAACTTTTGTTCCATGACTCTTTACAAAACATAATAAATTTAACAAAAAATAAACTTATTTCTGTACGGAAGTAAAAATCTGATGAATTGTTAAAAGTCATGAAACAAAAGTTCTTGTTTAAGATGTTATTAGTAACATACTAACAACCTTCCTGGACTATATTAGTATAGTCCAGCAAGGTTGTAAGTATTTTACAAATAACCCTGTATTAAAGCTTTTCAATATAGAGAGTTAACTGGATCGTGTGATGTTCTTGTTGTCAGGTGCTAGCATATATCGGTCATACATCTCCTGAGGTGGCATGTGGGCGACGGCTGGACGAGGCAGGCCCGTCGCCGCTGCCGCCTGGCGCAGAGGACGAGCTGGTTGCAGCACTCGTCTCACATCGCAACGCCGAGAGACACTATTTGGCTAATAGAGAAAGGTATAGACCAACTTGCCATGTATTAAAATTCACTTCGGAAACATTTATTTACAATATTTAACCTACACAATGAATCAGTTATTATAATTATTAATACAAAAATCGCACACAAAGAAAAATTCCTTCGACCTGACAGGACTCGAACCTGTAACTGCGCCACACCAAGGCAATGCTTTTCCAACTGAGCTACAGTTCATTTATTATTATTTGGGATCAAAACCTCTTTAATGCGGAAAGAAACAATAATGAAGTACCCTCTTTTCAACAAAAAAAGAATCATCACAATCGGTTCACAAATCGTGTAACAGCGTAACACACAATGTAGTAGTCATAATGTAGTAATCGCGTAACATAATTACATAAAAAAACATTACATAAAAAAACAGTCGAATTGAGAACCTCCTCCTTTGTTGAAGTCGGTTAAAAATGTAAATGTAAGTTTAGCGCGCAATAACTAATGTCGCATTGAACGCTCCAAATTTAGCTCGTTCTTAATAGCGAATTGTTTACCAATATCATAACGCCTTACTTTACGAACCTATACTAACAATTTGCTCCGCCCAATTTCGTAAAAACGATAATTTTTATTCTCCAGTGAGGAAGAATTAGAGCAAACGGAATCGTGCGGGCCCGTGCCTCCAGGCCCATTCGAGCAGTGCCGCTTGTTGCTGGCTCAACTGGGTACACTCGCCCCCGCACGTCGAACGCATGCACAACTGCTGCGACGCTCGGACAGACTATTGAGGGAGCTTAGAAACTTGGACGCGCAACGGTAAATTTCCGATTTATTATAAATCGTACGTGTGTAAGTTAGCATGACAGTCAGGTCTACATCTTCAGTTGCTTGAGTACACAAAATAGCGTTAGGAATTTGAAAGTTGCAAATTTGGTACACTTGGTGGTTTGAAGTTTGCACTGTGTTTGTTATATTTATCCAATATTGTGCTTTTTTAAAGGTGTCGAGAAACGCACAAAGTTGCCGTCATATATGTAGCCAAAGGCCAAGAAATGCGTAACGAGATCCTATCCAACCGATGCGGCAGCCCTGCGTACGAAGCTTTCTTAGCTGCCTTAGCTTGGGAGGTAAGTTGCGCAATTTAACGCTCACTAGAGCAAACTCACAAACTTTCGCCTTTTTTAACTATTTATTTTTCTGTTCTTTACCAGTTTAATAATTTTCAGAAAGTCGTAATTGTTTTTAGTTTTTTCTTTTACGTACGACTTTTCATTCGTTGTAACCAATGGTCGGAAAAAGGTGTTCCACATAATTATATAAATACATGTTTAGACATAGCTACAAGGAGCGACAGAGAGTTGTTAAAACCACCAAATGTTAGTTAATTACATTTTCGATTTTCGGAAATGGTTTTACTGTGTCGTAGGTTAGACAACTGACCTAGGAAGTCGTAATTGGATTTTAAAGTAATTCTAATGGTGCCATGTTAAAAAATGCAGTAGATAACTGACAGCCTTGTTACCGTTCCGTCAATGCAACCGTCAATATGTGAGGCGCAGTGTGGTATCTAAAGCTAGGGGTTGAGAATGACCATTCTCGTTACTTTTTTACTCTCTGCTTTGGTAAAAGGTCAGTTAGTTATCTACTGCATTTTTTTACATGGCACCATTAGCACACCCCGGACACTCCATACAACAGTGGAAAATTATGTACTTACTACTACTAGACTACTACATACAGCAAGGCGCTATCTGCACACGCGCAAATGTGTGCGTGAAGTAGCAGGGTTACCCATCCCTTCATGCACGTTACGTGATCAGAGCGGCAACATAGCGAAAATGCTAACGCGAATCTGTTATCTATTAATAGAATCCTAGAACACTAACTAGACTTTACCACTTAACTTAACTTTTTTTGTTTACTCACTAACTAGAGTAATATTGAAGATTTATTTAAAAAAATATATTAAAAGCACTTAAAATGTTATATTTTGGACATGCACTTTTAAATAAGGTAACCAAGGTATTTGAAATTGCGTGTCCAAGTTGATCATCATTACTTAGTTAATAATTAGGTATATTCGCTACTTACGTAATATTTATCTGGAATATGAATTGAAAATTCGAGAACCCTTGTCTACTAGCTCACGAAATCATGGCGCCAAATCTGTATTTTTTATACATAAATATATTACTCTGCAGTAAATAAATGAAGAAAACAATAACTGAATAAGTCTCAGACATAAGTTTTTTTACTTACCTACTTCTTTTCATCTTTCGGAAAATGATGATAAACAGCCATATACAGCACAATTCACGACCATTATAAATAGTAACGTAAAATTATGTTATATATTAACTTACAAGTTTTGTAATGAATAAATGAAAACTATATTCAAATATCAAAGCCGTCTTCGCGTAAAAACGGCTCGCCGGCAGCCGTGTTGTCGTTCAGTCAATGTGACCGGCAATGTGGGGCGTGGTGCGGCATCTAAGGCTAGGGAGGGGCGGAGAGTGTCTTGTTCTCTGCCATTAGAATTACTTTAAAATCCAACTTCGACTTCCTAAATCAATCGTTTTGTCTTACAATGAAGTAAAACCATTTCCGGAAATACGGAAATCGAAAAGCAATTAATTAATATTTGATGGTTTTAACAACTTCATGTCGCTCCTTGTAACTTTATCTATACATGTATGTATATATATGTGGAACACCTTTTTCCGACCATTGGTTATGGCAAACATTGACAAGCTGCAATTTCTCAAAGCGTTGGTTTTGTTCTATTCACTGACGCTGGCAATAATCGTCATAGTTTTTATATTATTGTTATAAAACTGACACTGGCACAAACCTAATGGCCGCCCAAAAGGAAATAATAGTACTCCAATTTATAGTGATAACAAACAAATCAACTAGATGGCGCTTATTGCGCACATTTTTATAGGTAATGCTGGCTATTCTTTTATATTTTGTTTAAGATTAGCGCCACGTACCCATATTAGGAAGCGCTAATTTATAAATTAGTTTGTTACACAATGCCATGCATTGACACGCATATTAATTTGTCATACTTAAGAAAATAACTTTAGCTCATGATCAATATTTGATTAATATTACAAGGAAAAATCTGATTACTTTTTTGTTTCATAATCAAGCGGAATTAAAATTGATATCCACGGCCATTTACATAATATAAACTACTTCCAAGCTATTGATAAGCGCTCTCTAGATATAAGCCGCAATTTGACCTTTTTCAGGAATTATATCAGAGTTACGATCGGTAGTATGGAGATTAACAGTCTTCTAGAGTTATTGGTACATGTCTATATTTATTAGTGATGCAACGGAAGTGTCATAACGGAAACAGGTGTCAAAAGTAAATCGTAGCAGAAACGCAAGCGGATGCCAAAATGTACATGTATGTACAATGTACAAAGTCAAAGAAGCATTTATTCCATAGGTAAAATAAATTTACATTTGAGAACATCACATTTAAGCTACTGCTCGTTCACTACGCTGACTTCCCTGAGAAGAACTAGCAAGAAACTCTAGGGATTGCTCTTTCAAATGAACTTAAATGCTATTTAAGTATATTCGATTCAATGTGTATGCCACACATTGAATCGAATTTGTGTGGATTCTGGAGTCATATCGTCTTTCCATACATCTTTATCTAATGCGTAGTCTTCAATTTTGTAATATGACTTTTCAATCAAAATATTTTTAATGTAGTTTTCAAACATAGGAAATGATAATCATTATACATGCTCCGGAATCTTATTGTAAAAACGTATACAGCACCCCATAAAAGAGTCATTTACCTTGGTTAAATGAAATCGTGGTACTTTGGTGTAACTTTGTTAATTTCCGGTTAAAGTTGTATTATAAAAGTTGTGCAAGCGAAAACGGAAACAGATGCAACAAAGCATGCGGAACTTCGCAGCCGCGGAAACAGAAGCAGAGGTCTGTTGCCTTACTTATATTTATACCATACAAAAGACGTTTTAGTGCTTGGATCGTGTCTTTAAATAGAGCTCACCTACACTATCCTCTTAGTCAGCTTTATCACTCCGTATCTTAACATTGTACTGTATAATCCAATGCAAAATGGTTTATTTTAGGTGGAACTGGAAAGCCACGTCGGTTTCGCTGGCGGCCTGCGATCGGGCGGTGGCGGTGGCACCAGCGCGCCTTACATCGCGACGCTCACATTAGAGGCGCTATTTCACGTCGCCACACGCATGCCCGCTGATACACCTGACGCTATACTGAACAAGGTCTGTCTATTATTTGATTTTCATTTATGAAGTAGTCGAATATATCCTATATAAACAGCAACAACAACGGCACTACAGAATAATAAGATGTTTAAAATGAACTAATGTGCAATATTCACTATCAAATTATTCCGTGAAACCTTAGGATAGAGAAAAAATAAAGTAATAAATACGCTGTAACGGAAAGTTACATGTATTCATTATATTTAAAAATAACTATAATAACGGACGTTTTTATAAAAATCTAAATAAAATATTTTCATAGTTAATAAATTTCCATAGACTACCGCAGTTCAAGATTTTGCCTTTCGTTACTAGCCATGAAATTTGAGGCAAACGTAATATTTGAATGGGCAGCCGCGGGGTACGCGAGGCGAGGGGGTGATGAGCGAGCCAACCTCGCCGTGTCTCTGACGCAGGCAGGTGACCAAGAACCGCGCTCGAAGCTAGTCCACGCTCATCGCTCACTTCCCGCTGGCTTACACAACCCGAGATTTAAAATTCAAATTAACGATTTTCAAAATCGCCGATTTCTTGATAATAAATTCTTAAACACAATCACTTGTTAGTGGAAGTGAGTTCCCGCTATAGAGAATACATTACCTTACGGTTGAAGAAACTACCTTCTGTTTGAAGAATCCACCTACTGCTTGGTGAAAACCCCTTAGCTTTCCAACTTGTTTCGCTGCGCGCGCTTGTGCCGTGACACGCCACCAGCTGCACCCTTCCGTCTAATGGCTGCGGACAGTTCCGTTACCAGAGGCCACTCACCATTCACGGCCGGGCATGCTTCTTAGGGGAGTACGGAACTCCAGAAGTGGAAACAATAATCTTTAGGCCTTACAACCACGGCCCTGTATAAATTCATGTACCAAATTTCCTTTTAGAAGTCAAGTATGTAGTATATATGTTATTTTAATTCAAAATATATTATAATTATTTTAATTTTATGATCTCTTACTTTAATTTACTACCTTCTTAGGTAGTAAATAATTTGATGAAAATAGATGAAAATTAATTTATGAGAAGTCGAGCCACTGTCACGTATACCTTGTTACTTTTACCTAAGGTCTATTTAAAATTGTGTTTAAAATTGCAGACACGTCACTTAGGCAACGATGAGGTGCACGTGGTATGGAGCGAGCACTGGCGTCCGTACAAGCGTGACACGCTACCCACGCAGTTTTGCGACGTGCTCATTGTTCTCTACCCACTGGCTGGAGGGTTGTTGCGATGTACCGTTTCCAGAAAACCTGACGTAAGTTGTTTATTCAAACATTCCTTTGTTTCTACTAAAGTCAATATTGTACTCTATACAAGAGTAATAGACTAAAGACTCTTATTACTGTAAATATTGCAGCCAGCGATCGTAATCATGCCGATTTGAAGCACAGGTTGTGTATAGAGAAAGAAACTTTATTCTCAACAAAGTAATTATTTTTTCTAAAATTGTTGAAATTGTTGCACGATCACCGGTAAAATTTTGGTAGCACCTTGAGTATACATTTTATGACGTAAATCATAATTAGAATATGTGTTTGTTATGTTTCATGGGTTTTCAAACTTTCAGTGTCGCTGGTCATATATCCTCTAAACCATGTATTGAAAAATATTTGTTTCTCTGTATTATTTCTTTTTCTCACTAGGTGTCAGTATTCGGTCCACTATGGGAGGAATGTATAGTGCACGTAAGTTGCGCAGCGGCACTCGTACGAGGAGCAGCGTTCGCAGGCGGACGAGCCGTACGGGCCACCATGCCTCTGTATCAGCACGCGTATTCAGAACGGGCAAGATCGCTCGATGCACTCGTACATCATCATACGCAGCCTACTACGTTTGAACACTTCGTAGAAAGGATACGGGAACCAGTAGCCCTGCAGCCCGCGTTGAGTAACACTGCTGCTGGTTAGTAAATAATTAAGTGCAAATATTTTTATTACATAACATTTTTAAACCTGAATAATGTTGAATAATTTTTTGTATGGAATTCTTAGGTTTTCGCAATTGTTACACATAGGAAATGGAACTATTTTTCCGGATTCAAATCGCGTATATTTGTTTTTTTTTTTTTTTTCAAACAAACCAAGGTTTCGGGCCCTTTACAGGTCCCATGGTCACGGCTGACTGAAGTGATAGAGTCATCAACCAGTTATGTCTAATATTAATGCAAACCATCCTATTTTTCACTATAGTTCCAAAAGTTATTAATTAAATACCTTATTTTTAATTTCTCAAAGCTTTATTTCCTGTTTTTTTTTTGTCATTAAAATTCACCATTTAGACCAGTGACATGTAGGAATGCATATCAGCTTTAAATTAGGTTACTTTCTACATACGCCTACGGCTTTCGAGGAGCTGGTCCAATTTCCTCAACAGCCTTGATTCCGTACAATACTATTTCCGACTGTGTTTGAAGTTCAAAATAAATACAGCTTCAAAATTCTTTATTACACTAAGACTGCTCCTATCGAATTGGAAATGTTCGATCTCTCATCACGACTGCAGTTATTCAAATTCATGTCGTCTTTATTTCATAGGTAAGCAAATTACTCTTGAAATCGTAATATTAATTAAGCTCATTTTGTAAGGTAGAGTTCCCTGAGAAGAAGGAACTTGAAACTCTAGGGGTCGTATTCTAGAACTCTACTCAATGCTCAATTCAGGATTTGGAAATACGACCCTAATGGCAAAGATTTGACTATGATTTTCAGTGCTCACTGCAATACTCAAGTCCTGACTTGAGTATTAAGTAGAGTTCTGGAATACGACCCTTAGAGTTGCTCTTTTAAATATACATTTGAATACATTTAACATTTGTAATATTTATTTCAAACATCTTCTTAGATTGAGACTACCTGCAAAAGCTAAACCGGTCACTACCACGCATTCTTGTCGTCCAAGTATGCAGAAGCTGTATAATAAATAACCTTTAGTCATTGAATTACAAATAAATGGACGACGGGTCTAATACAAAAACCACGAAAAAAATGTCTCAAGTCAACCTATTTAAACGTAGTGACATGTAAAGGAATATGAAAAAGCTAAAACGTTGAATTTTAATTGTAATGTCATTGCAGTACTGCCTAATTTTGCTTGCAACAATTGAAAGGCGCAAAAAAACACCATATTCAGCTTCTACTAGAAACTTACCAAAATGCACCATATGTAGCTTCTAGTGAAAACTACTTACCTTTATTATTTATAAATAAATTTTATACGTAAATGTTGAATTTTCTACAATGCCATTTATTACGAGTTAGGGTTTCTTGACTTTTTTTTCTTGAGTTTCGAAAATTCTCGTACCCGATTTCTCGAGTTATTCGAGATTTTTTTTTAAAACCGTAAAAAATCAGCTCAATCAACAATAAAACTAAATGTGAACTTTTCGAAAGTTGTTTTGGCCTGGGTGTTCTGAGTTATGCCCCGGAATAAATTCCATCGTTCGTGGTCCCAGGTTCGATTCCCAGTAGAACCAATTTGGGGAATGAACTTTTGTAAATTGGTTCTGCTCTGGGATTCTGTTGCTCTGAAACTCATAGGGAGTATGTACAGAGAGTTCCCTAGTTTCAGACCAGGTGATTGTCTTACAATAGAATATCAAGACCAGAACCATTTCGAAAAGTTAATTTGTTAAATTGATCCTACCGGTATCGAACCCGGGAACTTCTCATCCAGTGCCTACAGTGCAAACCGTTAGGCTATCAAGGTTGTACTATTTGTATTATTATGCATTGTTTGCATGTGAAAGCTACAAATTGCTTAAACTTTAAAAAAAATCCTATTTAATTTGCACTGTCAGTCTGCTTCAGTTACCTTCTTTGTTTCTTAAGTTGGTATATTTTGTCATTCATCCAACTTTTGATTTTTAATGCATTTTGGCGGTGTAAGATGTTCTCTGTTATGTAATACTTGTAACTTTTTTCTTAAGTTCAAGCTGTGTTTCCTGGATAAATTCCTGTATTCTCTCCTTTCTATACACAGTTCACTCATTGATGTAATCACAAAGCAAAGCTTTAATATTATGGTCTTTTATCAAGCTTGCATCAGCTTAGGTTTCCTTTCTTTTCTTACCATTTTCTTAACCCGTTCATGCATAGTACTGAAATTATACTGCGCTTAAAAACGTCACCACTTTTCTATATGCCGTAGTGCTTACATTGATTCAATATAATTATTGCGGTTTATCACTGACAACGCTTGATTCCTTCAACAGGCATAGTCGTACTGCTCATAGTTCTTGCAAATGTTTCTTGTGCTTGAAAAAGTACGCCTATGACGGCAGTAGGGTATTTGCCATTGTGAGATAATTACAAAATTAAAATGCGCGATATTTATTGCGCAAGAGAAACGCTTTCCAA